GCATTTCATTTGTGAATTAATACTCGTTCATGATTAAAGCCAGCTAGATCATGTAGTGTATTTACTTTGAAACTTTTTCCTTTCCCATATACTCCACTCAGTTTTTTCTTCTCTTCCTTCTTCTTCTTCTTCTTCTTCTTCTTCTGCTTTTTCTTTTACTTTTTTTGTGTCTTCAGTTGATGCAGATTCGTTTCTGCCATCTCTCGTCTAGATAGCATTGAATGCTCATATAGATTCTTCTCTTTTAAACTGAAATTTGGATGAAAGCATGAGTATTTTGATTATCAAGCTGCCATGCGCGTACCCATCAAGCGCGTGATGCTCTTTTCTGGAAGCTTTAACTTGCCGGAAAGAATAGTTAAGTAAACGATATCATATATCTTTTAACTTTATTTTTATTTTTTTGCTTCTTCTCTATCTCTCTCTCTGTTACTTACCTATATCACCTGCGTTTGTAAATTAGTTTTCACACCTGTTCAAATTGTAGTCAAGATGCAACTGGAAGTAATTAATATGATATAGTTTGTGTCACTATATCATTCTATTGAACTATACCATCCTCATAACATAGCTCATCGTTTATATTTCAATTGTATTAGTTATCTAACTATATTACTTTATATTGATTCATATGCATGATTGGAAAAACATGCTTATTCCCTCCCCCCCTTCCCCTTCCATTACAAGAGTCATCATCTTCTGCTCTTTTGATAAATTAAAATAAAAGCTGTGAAGCAGCACAGCCGTTTACTGCCTATTCAATGGCTGAAGATACGATTTATAAGAAAATAATATATCTTCTTATAACCTTAAAACTTATTCATTAATGTGCCCTTCTCTCTTGTAATTTTATATTTTTCTATTCAATGTAGTTGTCGTTGTTTGAAATTTGAGATGACATGGTCTTTTTCCAAAAAGAGTATTTGATGCTTATTGAAGAAAATGCTTGTAGTTCTCTACGACGACAATTTGATTATTGAAGTCTTTTTATGATATTGTTGTCTTTGTTATTCTGATCATCGCATCAGACAAGGATGATGTTTCAAACAGCATGGTCGTTCGCCATGATTATGAGCCTCTCGTTTTTCGGAAAGATAGCTATAGAGAGAGAGAGAAAGAGTATGAGAGGGAGAGATGAGAAGCTTTTCCACTTTCTAGTTGGTTGATTTCATTTTATCCACCTACTCCTCCCGCGTGTTTCATTCATTTTTTGACATAAAATAATTTAATTCTTAACTGGTTTCGTCAGAAAATATCAGAAAAAAAAATTCCTTTCTTCAATAGAAATACAACTGGCGAAGCAGCTTCTTTCGAATTTCTATTTTTTAACAGAAAAAAAAAGAAAAGAAATTGTCGTCGTTGTGAGTCTGATAGAGATTTTGTATGTCGTGTAGTCGTCTCTCTCTCTCTCTCTCTCTCTCTCTCTCTCTCTCTCTCTCTCTCTCTCTCTCTCTCAAGTAGTTTGAATCTTCCTTATCTGACTTTGTGCTTATACTTTCTTGTCATACGCCGCACAAGCATTTTCCCAGTTTTGAATTTGTTATGTCAGGTATGCTTGCCATGAGCTTTTCCGATTCAATTACAAAACAAACTCCATTGGAATATATTTATAGAAATCTGCTAAGTTATTTCAATAATTCGCACAACTTTTCATTTGAGTTTGAATGGTTGACAGAGAAAAAAAAAATTTTTTTTTGTGTGTCTGTGTGTCTCTCTGATTTTTCCAAAAAAGATAATTGTATTCCTGAATGGAAAAAAGCTTTATGTGGACTAGCTGATGTTAAAAGGGCATTTCACACTACTTTGTAAAGCATTTTGTAAACTGTATTGATTCAGTTGAACATTTTAAGTCTCTATTTTGCTTGAAGGAAGCTTGTTCAAGCATCTGAACTTTGAATTAGAAAGTACTTTAATGTCATTCTGGAAGAGAGAGAGAGACAAAAAAAATGTTGTTTTGTTGTATGTATTATGTCTATGTGTGTGTGTGTGTGTGTTGTATGTGTGTGTATGCTTAAGCTATTCCTTTGTTTCGCAAAAATGCTTTTCTTGTCGCCTATTAAGGCATATTCGTTTAAGCTAAGACTATATTGTTAATTCAATCTTATGAAATCATTTTACTCACTTCATTATGATTATTCAATCGTATAAGCTTAACTGTCTAGCTATCTTAAATAACTAGTTAATGCTCATTCTCACGTGAGCGTATTTTCTCACGCATAGCATCATTACCCAGCTGAAAACTTTGAGCCTCCTTGCAAATTTTATTGAAGTAACGCCTCTCGTCTCTTTAGTTTTTTTCCTTTTTTCTCTTGCTCTGCTTCATTCAATGCGTCGATGTTGATAAACGAACATCTACTCAGCTCATCAAACATCAAAATACAGATGATGAAAACTTAGCACAGGGCCTATCTTTTGTTCCAGCTCGTTCCATTTAGGCTGGAGGTTCTTTGATTAAATTTGTCTAAATTGGGTAATGTGATGTCAGAAAGGACTAGCCATGAGCGCTTACACTGGGCCTTGCCATAGCATGCTCCTTAGCTTCTCCTTGAGAAAACGTCGTCATCTTTTGGCGTTTTCATCTTTTAGCTTTTAGTCATCTTTGTTCACTCATCGCATATTCCCTATCTTTAGTGCTTACTTTATGGCAACCATCTCTCGTTGCCATTCTTGACCACCCTCCTCCATTCTTATTCAAATCATGTCAGAGATATTAGTTTGTGACGTGAAAATTTCCGTCTTCTATAATTTTATAAGAATATTTTTTTGTTTTTAATGGAAAATCTCCATATAGGTATTTTTGCTTTCAAATATACTCAATTCCCTCCGCCTCCCTCTCCGTATAGGCTCTCATTTTTGACAGAAGCCTTTCCTCCAGCTGACAGTTTCCTCCTACTCCTCCTCCACCATCTTTCATTTTAACAAATGAATTGAATTTTTTTGGTTTTGGTCTTATTTTTTCCTGTTTCCGTTCTGTCTACTTGTGCCTTTTCTTCAATTTCCTTTCGAGTACTGAGTCTAGAAAGCTGATAGAGGGATTGCTTTGACTATAAGCTATATGCTTATATTATCTCCCTCTTTTCCTCTTTCTCTCTCTCTCTTTCCCTCCTTCCCTTTCTCTCTCTCTCTCTTTCATTCCTTCTATCACTTGAAGAGAATATCTTATGTTTCGCCATATCTGGACGAAGAGAACGTAGAGATCCGTTGAAGAAAAAAGAAAAATTTCTTTTTTTTCTCTTTTTTTTTCATTTTTCTTCCAATAATGTCTATTATTATTTGGGCAATTTATGTTGAAAGCAATATATCTTATATATTCCATAATGAATTATAATTCTTTAAATTATATTGTTTTGACAATGCTTTGACATATTTGTCAGTTGTCTTTCAGTTTATTAAATAAGCTCATACTCTTTATGAATGACTATATTAGATGAATTAAGAGCTTAATTTCATTTCAATAACATTTACATTCAATTCATGTCTCTCACCCACCCACCCTCCTCTTTACACTCTCACCTCTAACCTTCTCCTTCTTCTACTCGCCCCCCCCCCTCATCCAACCCTCTTCCTCTTTCTCTCTCTCTTCATCTCATTCTCTCCTTTTCCTCCCTTCATCAGAGAGAGAGAAGAAAAAAAATTGCAAAAAAGGTATAGAGCTTGTATTGAAATGTTGATGCTTTTGCCGGCTTGATCGTCGTAAAACCTTTACAAGTTTTTCTCAAATTCCAATTTTCGTTTGAGTTTAAAGTAAATTCACTTCACGAATACGGATAGCGTAGAAATAGCCTTGTGAGAGGTAAAAAAGAAATATTCTTCACATCTTGTAGCTTGTTTATCTATTCATGAGCTTGCTACTTGCATAATTCTATTGTGCATCCTCTCTCTGTCAAAGCACTACGAGCATAGTTTTCGTTTTTTTATTCCTTATTTTGTAAAACTTTTTGAAAGAAGAGGTTTTTCATTGAATAATTCATAATTATTTTTAAGCTTAAGCATTAAAGCTGGATATTATTTCATATTCGATAGATTTTTTTTATGTCAGAAGCTTGATCTTGTTCACTTGAATTAAGCTCAGTTTACATTCTTTCCGACTACTATTCATTTTCGAAAATGACGCAACAACAAGTGAATAAGAGAGAGAGAAAGAGAAAAAGAGAGTAATACCGAAAAAGAGAGAGAGAGATAGATAGATAGAGAGAGAAAGAGGTATAAGGAAGAAGAAAAATATTTTATAATAAGCGAAGAGTTTGTTGATTTCGTTTAATATCATATGTATTCACTTTATTAACATTTATATTCTAATGTGCTTTATAATTGAATTGTTTCATCCACGTATCTAAAGCTGCACTTGCCATGCTTTTGCCAGGTTTCCTATATATGGCTGGCCTTTTGTTCTGTCTTGTTCTCATTCTCTCACACTATTCTCCACCATTTTGCTATTCCACATTTACATTTCTGTGACATTTCTATAGAATTTTGCAAATTTGTCAATTTCTTGAATTAATGATTGAAATTACTTACAAAGGCAAAGAGCTTAAATGCTTAAAAGTAGCGCAAAGATATCCCTGAGAGTAGAATGAATATGAAAGCTATACTCATCTCTTTCACATTCAAAATCCTTCCTCATCATCACCTTTTCATGTCATGGTACTCTCTTCCCCTCTCTCTCTATCTCTCTCTCTCTCTTTGTATACTTTTTCATATATCCCTCTCTTTAAAGAATCCCTCAGGTATATAGTATATAGCTTGAAGATTTTTCGGATTTTTTTCTTGACATGGCTGATGTTAGCATTAGAGTGTTCAAGTTTGAGTAAGGAATATTCTATTTGAGCTTAGAACTTAGTAGGAATGTTGAAAATGAAGTTAAATATATTATTCTATCGTTATTTTTATTTTAAAATATTCATGATTTATTCAATATTTTCCAATCTTACAGAGGATGTTACAATAGTATAAGTACTCTATCGAGTCAAGGATTTATTTATTTGGATCAAACAGTTACAATGAATGGGCTTACATTTCATTTACAGGTATATATTACATATAATATGTTAATTTAATTATTCATTCATTCAAGTCCGGTATTCATAAACGGTCAATTACCATTGATGGACAAGAAATTTCATTACGTGACTTACGGAAGGCTGCATTCGAATTTATTCAGGAAGTTGTACGTTTTTATTTGAAATGAGATCTATTGTGAGATGTTATTCTCATTTCAGAATCCAGATCAATCATGCTCTAATTTGCAAGATCACATCCTATTGTATAAGCATGACTTACGATCAATTAATATATTACAACTTATAACAACAAGCTCAGAAATATCTGATGGAACACTGGTAGAAGTAGTTATAAGCTGTAAGTTTCATTTTTTCTCTTTTTTTTTTGTTTTTTATTTTGATCCCCATTTTCATTCTCTCATTTTTTAAACTTTAATATCTAAAAGGAGGAAAATTTGAATAATTGCTTTGAAAGGTTTAAAAGTAGTAATTGGTTTGAATACATCATTGACGATGAAATCATAATAAGGGCAGCATAGTTAAAGATAGTTGGATGATGGATGATGATGATGAAGGGGAGGACGTAGAATCTTTTGCTTTTCTATCTATTTTCCCTTTCTATCAAATATATTTTTTATAAATCTTGTGAGAGTATTTATAGAATTTATAACATCTTCATTCATCTATTTATAATCTCTTCGAAACAGATAATACCTCGAGGGGTATCGGTTGGTAGAAGAGAAAAGGTTTTGAATGCTTATGATGCCATTTTATTTTTTAATCAATTGGATTGTTTGCTGAAGAGCTGTGAATTATATAGAAAATGAGAAATTCCCGGCTTCTCCTATAAACTATCATCCTTTTCTTTCTTTTATAAGTTGATTGTTCGGAGAGAGAGAGAGAGTGATTTACAGAGAGAGTTTGCGAACAGATTTTTCAGAGAGAAAGTGTGAAAAAAAAAAAGAATTCGAAACTTCTAACTTTATCAGCTTTATTAATTTGAATTCTATCTGAGATATGAAGCATTTGGAGGACAATAGAAGAGCCCTATTGGCTTTTAAAGCATCTTTAAGCTTTCATCAACGATTTCTCAAATCTGTTGATGGAGCTTATCCATTGGCTTCAAATGCAGTTGTGAAGCCGATCTCATTTGCAATCAGTTGACGTTCATAACTTCAATAATTTGATATATTATTTAACGTCAATGTTGTTGTAATTTCAGTAGTAAGTATTATTAATTAAGCTTTTTATATCTTAAAAAGTTATATTTTTGAATATGTGTCAACTAACCATCTACTTCATTCTATTTCTGCTCATTTGGCTCGTCATAGTGCCTTCTGCAACGTCTCTTTTCTCATTTTCCCCTTTTCACTTCAGTTCATGACTCTCTATCGCCTTTTCGCTCATTTGAAGCTAAATAATACATCAGTCTCTCGAATGCGAATCAGTCTCTTTTTCCATTTTTTTTTAGTTGAAATCAATTTCGTTTTGCTTTCTTTAGAGCTATTCAGTTGTTTTCCGTCGTATTTAGATGATCTTAATGCTCATTTTGATAAAAAAAAAGAAAGAAGAAGAAAAAAAGAAGCAAAAGGAATAAGAGAGAGAGAGAGAGAGAAAGGAGAAAGGAAGGATGAAAGATTCTGGGTTTTGGGAAGGATGAAGCCATGTTACAAGCTGCATCGTAGCTAGTGTTGTATGTTGTTGTGCTGACCTTATAACTGTGCTCTTTTTAATATTTAAATATCAAAAAAGAACATTTTGATATAATATCAGTTTGTTCACATTTGATCATTAATTACAATCATGTAGATGATTAGTTGACAAGACAGACGGATTGAAATATAATATATCTGATTACTTACTGTATTATATTGTTATTTATGCGCTTATTGTTAATCCCGCACACACATATCTGATAAGAGTGAATATCATTGATTGAGATTTAGTTTATCAGTATGGACACACATACACACCAGCATTCCTCAATTGCCTTTTTTTGGTCATATTATTAGTTGGTAATTTTGTGAATGATTTTTGGTTTTATTGCCTATATATCCAATGGCGTTGAATGAACCATCCTAATCAGCTTCTGCGTATATCCTTTTCTTGTTTTCCTCATCTCTCGTAAATTTCTATTCTTTTTAAGTTACGTAATCCTTCTTACTTCATTTTTCCTTTCTTATATCCGCCCTCAGTCTGGCTTTTCCTTCTTTTTTTTTCCGCTCACACACGCATACACACTCTCTTTCTCTTTTATTCTCTCTCTCTCCCTCCTTTTACTCAATAGTTAAGTCTTGTGTCCTTCCATTTTATTTTTAAATTTACTTCCCATCTTCTATCACTGTTTATAATACTTCAGTTGTGTGTTCTTGTTGAGTCTTTGATTTTCCTGATTTGTCCTCCATGTCTGTTTGACGTGTCAGCTTTGCCGGTTGTCTTGTTCATTGATTCTGCCCGTGGGGGTCTCAGTTCATTCCCTCTCTCTCTCATTGCGCCTCTCTTTCTCTATATAATAATCCTCTTTAGGAAGCCCTTCGCTTACTGAAAGAAGCAAAGAAAAAAGTGTTTTAAAGAGAAAGAGAGAGAGAGAATAGTGATACAGAAAGAGATAGAGAGAGTGAGAGAGGTGGCTAGCGATCAAGATATGCCAAAAATGAGATATACAGAAAGAAAGCAGGCTAAAAGCCTTGAGCAATAGTGATGTGTGAGTGAAAGTATCCGTTTATACATGTTTCACCAAATTTTTTTATTTTCCGCTTCATAACATTGTGAAACAATCGAGAAGGGGGTGTGTGCGCTTATCCTGTCTCATCAATAAGGAATTATATTAATTTGGATAATTATTTTATGGCTTTAATCTCTATTCATACTACATAGTTACTGTTGAGCTTCAATAGTACTTTCCTTTTTTACCATCATTTCGTCTTCAAACTATTCACCCCCTTCTTACTCCTCTTATCCTCACCCCTTCACCCCCGTTAGAAGCTTACAACCTATGCCATGCGCTATAGCTTTTTTCATTTTGCAAACTTCTTCATTAACAGAGATGTGCGTCACTGGCTCGTCATATTTTGCCTTTATTGGTCCAATTTCAAGCTGTGTCTAGTATCTTCGATTAAGCTTACTGGGTGTAATGAATTCTTGCAATTTATGGCTACTGAATTGCTTTCTAGCTTTTATTCACCTTTTTAAACAAACAAAATCTCTTTGAAACAGCTTGATTTCTATATCTTTCTTATTGTATTTCGGAAGAAGAAAAAAAAAATTACAAATTAAGTTTCTTATCATATTTGGTCACATTGTCTAGGCTGTGGGCTGAATTTCATATGCCGACAACAAAATGTTCCAGCCCTAAGTGCTCTAGCCCCTGTAGAGGCTTCAGCTTTGATATAAAGCCGGATTGTAACCGTCGTATTATTATTTTGGATGGTACGTAATACGCTGAGTTGAGAAAGTTCAAAAGAGCAATTATTCAAATTTTTTTTTCTATGAACTAATAAACGAAAGCAATTATTATTTAACTTTCAGCTTGTCCACAACATGAACGACTGGTTGTACATCCTCATACTTTGTATGTCCATTCATACAAAGGACCAACATTCTGTGACTTTTGTGGAGAGCTTCTGTTCGGATTAGTCAAACAGGGCCTCAAATGCCAAGGTATTTCTTGTTTTGAATCATATTTCTGAATTTGGAACCAACGTTCAGGATGTGGCTTAAACTATCATAAAAGATGTGCCTCGAAAATTCCTAATAATTGTAATGGTTCGCGCCAACGCAGACCAAGTGCTATTCCGTTATCCCCAACAAGTTCCAACATCATGAGCGCTCTGACCGAACGAAGGGTATATCAGAAGTTTTATTCCTTCTCTTTACCTTATCTATTATCTTTAAGCAATCTCGACGTGATTCTTGTCTCGAAGCATTAGATGCAGCAAGACCTCAATCAACTATGGGAGGTCAGCTAGCTCCAGATATCTATATAACAACAGATACGGATTGTGGTGATCCGGTTGGAGGAAATGTATGGCTTACGAAGAAGTTTGCATGTTTCAATTATTCCTGTTGCAGTTCTTACAAATGCCTCGGAAGGACAGGTCTTGCTCATGGAGTGGCCGACCGTTATGGATGGAAGTAGCTGAAGCAACCAGAGTGAAGGTTAGTTATATTCAAGTGACCCAGTCTTGAAATACTTTTGATTCAGGTGCCTCACACATTTCAAGTTCACAGTTATAAGCGACCAACAATCTGTCAACATTGTAAAAAGCTACTGAAAGGTTTAATACGTCAAGGCATCCAATGCCGAGGTAATTAATTAAATAAGAAAAGCTCAAAGTTTTTCATATTCTCAAACATTCAGATTGTAAATATAACTGTCACAAGAAATGTAGTGAATTTGTCGCAAAAGACTGTCCTGGAAATGTTTCAAATCAATTCTTCTTAGGAACCTCTGATGATGGTAAGTTGCTTGAATGGCTATCTGTATATGGGAATGCGTCAAAAGACTCAGTTGATCTGCATGATTGTCTGATATCTGAGACTTTGCTAGCAGAGTTTTGATTGTTTTTTTTATTTATTATTATTATTTATTTATAATTTCAAAAACTATCTGATATGTGATATGATTTCAATTAGAAGTCGATTTCTTCTTTATCGTTAGTTTCTTTCTTCATCTAGGTCGATCTCTTTGTGGCAGTATGGAAAATTTAAGAATGTGTTCTGTTCCATATGATTCGGATCAGTCTGGTACTTCTAGATTTATTATTTTATATATATTATATATACATACATATAATAACATCACACAATATGCGTCAAGTCCCCTATACCTCACAAATCACTTGTCTCACAAACCTCCCCCTCCCTCTCTTCTTGCTCTGGAAGCAGCTAGCACGCACGTACGCTAATTTTAATCTTTTAGTTCCATATTCACATGTATATACACACCCCTTATACACAAACATTCGTTTTTAATGAGAAATTTCTTTTTTTTTTCGAGTTTCATCTTTTCATTTTCACTGCTTCAAGAATTAGCTTATTATCCGATAGATTTCTGATTCCATGCTCCACTTTTTGCACGAAATTGTCTCGCCTGCAGCATGTATGAAAGCTTGTTGATTTCTTTGCCCGATTCGTTAAGAAATTAAGAAACAGTTTTGTTTGCCGTCAAAGGTCATTTTCAATTTTAATTAGTTTTTTTCTTTCTTTTTAAACCAAAAAGAAGAAAAAAAATTGCTTTTCTCTTTCGTGAGATGTCCAGTTTTCGGCACCCCGCATGTCTTCTATCTAATCTCTTCCTTCTATGGATGTATTGAGTTTTTGAATTAATATCTATTCAATATTCCATAGATATATAGCAAAAGCTTCTTTATATTTCAACAACTAACCTTTTCAAATATGTTTTTTTAATGTTTATCTGTTAATTTATATCTTATGATGTATTCTCTAGGTACAGCTGAAGATCGTGATGATGAACTGAGTCCACGTTTGCATAAGAAAGCTCAGAATACTCCAAGTGCTCCATTACAAGGATCTGATGGCACATTTGTTGCACAAAATTCTCCAGAAGATGAAGTTCTCAGTACCGAAAGCCAGGTAATAGATAATCACATAATTTATTAATTATAACATAACATTTATAGAATATTCCACTTATGCGGGTCATTATGTCAAAGAAACAAACGAAAAGAAAGAATGCGAAGGTTCTTAAAGAAGGCTGGATTGTTCATTATACAAATCTGATGAATATGGTATTATTATATTTAACTATATCATATAGTATTAACATATAATCTTCTTTTCAGAGAAAAAAGCATTATTGGAGGCTAGACACAAAAAGTATAATCATGTATCAAGATGAAACATCAACAAGATATTTCAAGGTACGAAGACTTCTTCCTCATCATCTTCTATTTCTAGTCACAACGACTAATTCCTAATTATTTCATTGTTTCAGGAAATTCCATTAAACGAAGTGCTTGAATTGAAAAATGTTGAAAATGAGAATATTAAGAAGACAGGAGGTCATTACTTTGAGATTCGAACACAGGATTGTGTCTACTACATAGGTACGCTCACTTCATCCATTCTTTTTTTTCAATTTCAGCTCTTTCATTATTATTATTTGAAAATTCTTTCTTTTTTTTTTTGTTGATTATATTTTTACATAATGGTATCGTCAATATTCAGTTTTGAAGGCTTTTGTATGTTTCAAACTAGATTCTGACTGAATGTCAACTTGAAACTATTTGCCTTTTGCTTACATTGTCCGATGACTTCCATCTGTACGGAATGACCCTCTTGCCTTCTTCTAAACAGACAGCCTCTGGCAATTTTTGTTTTCTTCTCATCTCATCCTTAACCTGTTCCAAATGGTTCCCTACTTGAGAGTTCTACAATACAATTTCTTATATACATATTTATAGATATATAGATATGTATAGATATCAGCAAATGGTTCATCTACGTATAGTTAATGATATCTATATGTTTATACCATTTATATGTTCAATTCATTTATCATTTTAGAGATTTTATTATTACAGTTTTACAAAATGTATATAGCGAATATCAGCATGTTTTTCTATCCTGTAGATCATCAAAGAACAAACAATCATCTCTCCAACCATCATACCTTCTCTCATCTCCTTTCTCTGTTCAAAGATACAGAACATAATTACTTTTTATGTTTATCTTTTTTGTTGAAATTATATAATGAAGTTGCGAAGAATTATCTTCAACTTAGACGTTTACGTTTCTTCAACTTCATTACGACATGAAGGACATTGAGAATGTGATGATCTTATAACTCCCAGTCTGTTGACGTCACTTAGAAGCTCTTGCCCGCTTTTTTTTTCATCCATTTTCTCTCTCTCTCCCACAATCTCCTACTGTGTCATCTTTCTATCATGCTAGCGTCACACACATTCTGAATTTCTCTTGACGTCACATTCATCAACACTGTTCCAATTTTTGATTTTAGTTTTGTTGGTAAAATTGATAAGTGTCAATGATTTAGTTGCATTGTTTCATTTTCTAAGAAATGAAAAGAAGCAATTAGTTTATTGTGACAGAATGTGATTCTCGACCACATAACTACTGACCGCATGACGGTTTTTTTTTCTTCTTCACAAAAAATGCTAATTATCATTTCATTCTTCTCGTGCTGCCTGAGGAATGTAGTCGGCAGATTTTTGTGATTCTGATTTTTGTAGTCACAAATCAAGCAAATTGTCGAATTTCCATGTTTTTTTTTCTCTTCTCCTACAAGAGATGAACTTTTCAGTTTTGTATTACATCTCTACTGCGTTGGAGTTTAGTTGATTAACTCTCCTATTTTCTTATTTTCTACGTCATCACATCTGTTTAGAGAATGTTGTGACGACAGTCTGATGATTGAACTGATGTTCTTATTTCACATAGTATATAACATACTCAACAACTCAATGAGTCTTTCAATCATTCTAAATGTTATATTGAGTATCTGTTAATTGAATCTATCTAAAGCTTATAATTCATTATGAATAGTTTCTTTTCAAATCTCATGCCCACATTGATTCTTAAGAGGCAAACTGGATTTTAGCTTTCACGTATCCAGCAGAGCTTAGAAGATTTGTATCTTCAATTGGAATGTGAACTCATCTGATTCGTTTTCGGCTTTTGCATTGAAAGTATGGAAAGTGGCTTCCTCAGTTCAGGCCAACTGCCTAGACGATATGAATGCAGTTAATGTTTTCATTAAAACTCTGCTTTTCACCTTCATGTTCTCCTTTCCCATCTGATTGAAGTTGAGATTAAGTAGTTTTCAGTTTCCCCCCTAAGTATTTCTATGCGTTCATCCGATTCTAACTCGTGTCTTCCTTTCTTTGAAAATTCTAACAGTTAACTTGCAATTTATTTCCTTCTTTGACTTTTTGCATCTCTTTGTTAACATTTTTTCTCCTAATTTAACATATTCTGATTTTCTTTTTGTCCGTTTTACTCTTTTCTCTCACTTCTAAGTGACGCCTGTAAATTGGCTTCTCAGACTTTCTCGTCGATTCCTTCTCTCTTGCTTGGTGTCAGTATTTAATCGTTTTTTCGGCTTTTTACGTGTGCTTGTATAACTTTCGACGCGATGCTTCATCTCATTCCCGTTTTCAGTCAAATAGAACGCGAGATTCAGCATCTGCTAATCGGAATGCCTAACCCTGGGTGTACATAAGAAACACCTAAGGCACAGAAATTGCCGTTCATTCACGGACGTGCAGATGCAATAGTTTTTAAGCATACGAGAATCAAGAGAAGATGAAACCTGTTTGTTTCCGCCGGTTCTTCTTTCTGATGTAGCCTGGAGCGTTTTCAACCATCTCCACTACACAGTTCACCGATTCTCTTTCTCGCTTTCTGCCTTTCTCTCTCTTTCTTTCTTCCAATCTCTTATACACCCCTCTCACCTTATTTCAGTCATTTTCTATAATGTTTCAGTGATGCTTTGAAGCATATTTTTTGTTGTCTATCGCTGTCTTTTCGTCTTTTAAAAACTCTCTCGAATATCATTTGGAGACCATTCATGGGGAGATCAAATGATTATTCTGCTCCAACACCCACGTTAAACGGCATTTCCCTCCGCTTTGCATATTACTAACATCAAGTAAATAGTATATAAAAGTATAATTATAAGCGAAATAGTCTCATCGTATGTCCAGCTGTTTACTTGTTCAAGTTTATTTTTTTGTGAGAAGACAGGAATTTACTTTGAAAAATAAATTCAAAAAAATAAGTAAATGTCATTGGTCTTTCATGTACAAGCTTATTCTGGTTTGAGCAGCCAGTAGGCAGTTACTTCAACCCTCGATCTCTATTCCGATACTTCAACTATATATTGATTCGGAACTCATCTTATCAGCTGTTCATTTCTTTAATTTTCTTGTTCACCTTTTCAGTCAGCCGATTATGCTTTTATCTTTTTTTCGTCTCCATTCTCCTTCTATTCTTCTAATCTGCTGTCATTTTCATTTGTTCTGCGCAGTTCACATGTCCTTATTGAAAACTCCTCCTGATCTTCTTATCTAATGAATCTTCTTGACTTTATCGAAAGATTCTATCATTTTCTTATGCTATTCAAAAGACAGTTTGAACTGAAGCTTACGCACTCAAGATGCATATGTCCGTGTCATTGAGTTACTTATCTCAAGCGGTCATATCTTCAAATGCATAATTTGTTTGAACTGTTGAGAATTGATGGAACATAGTGAGAGAAATTAGAAATCTTGCATGGGACAGCCTTATGTTTGTCTGAAGTTGTTTACAATAACATGATGCTGTATCTATATGGGAAGCGATGAGTTTCCCCTGTCAAACACTGTAACATTTCTAAACAGTCTCTTTCAAACCCGTAATATCAAGAAATACTTAAAGCTTACTATGCTAATCTTCTCTTGTGATGTCCATTTTTATCGAATTAGGATACGAATGATACACAGTGGGGTGGGATAGTCGGATGAATGGAAGGAAGAACGAGATCTCCTCGTCTGCGGCTTACTGTTGTCCTGGATGAATTCATCTGATCGCTCACCTCAAACCAGTCTAGACAAGAGAAAAAGCAATGCCCACACCTGTCTTGAATAATTATCCTTTTTTCTGCTTCTGATGGGAAGGGGGGGGAGGAAGTAGAGAATGTAATAAGAAATAACTTTTATATTATTTCTAAGATGTTTACCATACACACACCTCGACAAGTATTAAGCTTCATCTTAACATTAACACCTGTTGACCTTTTAGAAACCACCATTTACGTTGTTAACTTTCAATGAGAATGTTTTTGTGAGTGTTGAATGACGTCGAATGACTTCATACTCTGTCATATACATATTCAAATTCAGTTAAAGGTTCTGAATGAATTTTGATAGACTGTTTTAAGAGATATAAGCCTTCCATTCAACTGATTCTGATATTATGTCTGATCAACATAGATTATTTCAATATTTTCTTCTCTTTTTGTTTTGTTTCTCTTCAATTTCATACATGGTGGCTGTATGTTTTGACAGATCGAGTAGAGGTTCATATGTTTTTCTTCTCCTACCACTACTTTTTCCTCAATTAAAATGTTTTTTTTCCGTCTGATGACATACAGTTAAACACACTTAACCATTCATTCCCCTATATGCTTTTCAAAGATTCATTTTTTTTCTCCTTCCTGCGCTGCTTCTACTAAATCAATCAATAATCATCAATATTTCTATTGAATAGTTAACTATATGCTTTACTTCTCCTATTTTATATCATTAACAGCGATTCTCATCAAATTCATTACATTTTTCATTTTCAATATACGGCCTTGAACTGATAATTCACATTTGTTCAGACATTTTGAGCTCAAATGAGTTTATAATCATTTTTGATTTTTCATGTAAAACTACAATATTCCTTTATTTTCGGGAGTAGTTTCTAATATTCTTCAAACACACACACATATACATACTTATACACTCATACACTCATCATATACACATAACATACCCATATCCACATACGCTCATTTCATTATTCCATATACTGATCTTAGCATAATTCTTCTGAATCTTCTCATTGTCAGCGGTTGGCGACAACCCATTATCTTCTCTCAGCCAAAGCCAAGAAATGCAAAACGTTGACGACTTTTGCTATTCTGGAATCATCAATGACAACGTTGACAATTTACGTCCATCAGGCCATCAGACCGGGCAAAGAAACAGTTTAGTCTGACCGTTTTCATCCATTGATGTACAAAATATCTTTCTCAACATTGTATCTCGTTTTTCCTTCTTGGACATTCTATCACTATTTCATTCATCTCCAACTACCATGTGTCTTCTGAATACACACTTTCTCTCTTTGTTTCGTAGAAAAGATGACCTTTGAATCACAGCCTTCCCTGACTGATTATCATACAACATATAACGTCTTCACCTAAATGTTCTAAGAAGTACATCATCTAAACTACACAGAAAGCAGGGCAGAAACAAAAAAAACCGTTTTCTCAATTACTCTCTCTCTCACTATCACTCTCTCATTTTCATTCTCTCTTCAAGAAGTAGATTGGAATGGATTTACTTTCTTCCTGTCCAGCTTACTCGTTTCGCGATTTAACTAGAAATTGATTTCTATATGACAGCTGTTCTTTAGGAATTTAAATTTATGATTCGCTGACCCCCGTTGATTTTTGCTTAGTTCCTCTTTCTTGATGTTTTGATCTTTGGTGTGTCAGGGGGGTTTTTTTTTCTTCAAAAGTTATCTTTCTCCTCTTCAATCATCAATATGCTAACTCTCACTCTCTATCACTTCTAGATGTACCTTTGCAACAATGATATATTAGCCTACTTAACTTCAGCAATCTATTTCCAGCTTTTAACAATGTAATTTCTCTATGTTTTTTTTCTAAAATAATTTTTTTGTTCTCCTTCCACTTAAAGTAAGTTTGAATGATACAGCAACTGTTATATATCTTGAACGATTTCTCCTTTCTACTGCTCGTTGTTGCACTTAATTTATATTTGAAGTCAGTATACCTTCGAATGTCCCTTCTTCTTTATCTCTTCGATTATTCCTTACAATATATTCAATTCAGTAATCAAAAAATGATTGTGGATTCATCATTTCTTGCTGCTTATGACTTTCCTCTTGTACAATTTTGTCCAAGAAAAAAGACTTTCTTACTTGAAATTGACGATACACATCAAGTACCATCTACAAGTCGAGGTTAATATAATCGAAAGAAAGAATTTTCAATTATATGTTATTAGATATTTATATATTATTCATTTATATGTTAACATATGCTTTCTGTTTTAGCTGGCACGCCGTCCGATGAAAACTCATTACATGTAGCACAATCATGGTCGCAGGCTATACAGGCAGCATTGATGCCTGTAACTCCTCAATCCAGCACAGGCCAAATAGCAATGGCTAAGCTGAAAGTTCCAACTGAAGGTATGTTTCATATTTTTCTCATTCTTCCCCTCGTCAACGGCAGCCATTATGAAAATGTATGAAAATAGAGAGGGCGACAAAAGGAGAGAGAGAAAGAGACAGAGAGAGAAAGAAAGAGAGAGGAATTGATATCTGAAGACTTATAGTTCGTAGTGCATCTGATAGTGAAGCAGAAAATAGTTTTTTGATTGAGAATAGGATTCTCTAAAGTATTGAGATGCGATGGTGTATAATGCTAATTACTGATGTTCGAACAGCAACTTGATAATTATCGTTTTTGCAATTGTTATAAGAAATAGGATGAAACTGGCAAAAAAATGTGAAAAAAGGAAAGCAGAACGATTGATTATCAGTTTTGTTTTTTTTTGTTTTTTCTGGTTGTTGTTCTCACATAAATAATAGTTAAAAGGACATTGTCGGTCAGTCAGACGGATAGAACGGTTGCAAAACGAACTTGACAATCTCTTATACTTTCTGTCCATAGATCCTTTAGTATGGACGGAAGAATAGTTCTGCTGTAGTTTTGAGTGAAAAACAGAATTAAAATTTAATCGTAATATATATTAATTCTAAGATTTCATATACTGTCGTCAACAGTCAGAATCCTTGAAGACGTTCATGTTCTATCAAGTTATTTTGTTATTTGTTCATATATCATCAAGCTCCTCCCTCTACTTGCCATTCTTTCTTTCTTCTTTTTTTTTTCCCTCTCTTTCATTTTGGTCCGACTTATTTTTAAATCTAGCTTTTGAGCTTCTAACATCTCACAGTAGGAGAGAATATCTTGTTGCCTTGTTTTTTCATCAACACTCTCGCCATGTCTTTGTTTAACTCGTTACTCCAGCCTCACTTTCTTGTCTCCGCATTGAGGTTGCCAAAGAATTTGTTAAAGAAAAGTATGCCCTAGCTATTTTTCTCAGCTTTTTTTTTCTTCATCCTGTGGCAGCAATGCAAACTTCTCCTCTTCATATTTCTTGACTTCTGCAACTTCATCTTGCATGCTCTTGTTCGAACATTAACTGACTGGCTTGTACAACGACAACTTTTGGATTTTAAGAGAATAATTCCTAAATCAACTACAAACATATTATTGGTGGTTTTGAATTTCAAAACCGTTCTCATAAGAATGAGGCATAGATGGCTGCCTCGACGCCTATCCTCAGTCTGCGGAAAAAGCAATACATTTTCCAAAATTCTAGGAGAAAAAGGACATCTTGGTTCAACGATTCAAAGTGAGCAGGAGTTCTCGCAGCTATATCAGATTTTCGCGGAAGAGGTGAGAATATGCATTTTATAATAATAATAATAATAATAGATAAGTAAGAAAAAATCCTCTTTCTTTTTTCGTTTTTTGTTCTTTTGCTCCCCACACACGTACGCCATTGACGTATATGGCAATATGATGAAGAAAAACAAAATAACTTCTATTAGGTACTTGGATCCGGTCAATTTGGAACGGTTTACGGTGGAATACATCGAAAGTCAGGAAAACATGTCGCTGTGAAACTGATTGATAAGCTGAAGTTTCCTCCTAACAAGGAAGATTTATTACGAACGGAAGTTCTCATACTTCAGGTAATTGATTGTTGTGTTGCGAGACGAAAAAAAAACATCTTATTATAGTATGATGTTGATAACATACATATTTCATAATAATTTAATCTCATTTTTCATTTTCAGAAAGTCAAGCACCATGGTGTTGTTGAGTTCCAACAAATGCTTGAAACTCCAGACAGAATATTTGTTGTTATGGAGAAGCTGAAGGTGATTTCATTTATGTTTCTTGATTAGAATCATTTGTACAAATAAGGAAATGAAAAGAAAAACAGGAGAAAAAAAAAGAAAAAAGCTAATACATATGAATTTCAGGGTGATATGCTTGAAATGATATTATCATCAGAGAAAGGAAGGTTAAGCGAACGGATTACACAATTCCTAGTTGGACAGGTTTGTATTTGTATTATGAAACTTTAAAATTAATTAAAATATGCTAATTATAGATATTAATTGCTTTACGTTATCTACATAATCTCAATATTGTGCATTGTGATTTGAAGCCGGAGAATATCCTTCTCACATCTAATTCCGATTTTCCACAGGTGCGTAGTCGTCGATCAGTTTGTTCGATTATTTTTTTGTTTTTCATATAATTATATTGATACATTAACATTGTGTGAATATATAATATAAAATAACAACAAGTTCACTGTTTGACATTATAATTTAAGGTTAAATTATGCGATTTCGGTTTCGCACGTATAATCGGTGAGAAGTCATTTCGACGTAGTGTTGTGGGTACACCAGCTTATTTGGCTCCAGAAGTTTTAAGAAATAAAGGCTTTAACCGATCATTGGATATGTGGAGTGTGGGTGTTATTGTTTATGTGAGGTAAGGAGAAAAACGGCTGAAAAGAAAAGCCATAAATTATAAATATTCTGATTTTGCATTTTTTTAGCTTGTCTGGCACATTTCCTTTCAATGAAGATGAGGATATTCATGACCAAATTGAGAATGCTGAATTCATGTATCCAGCGAATCCATGGAAGGAGATATCAGCCACTGGTAGATATATTTAACTTGAAAACTGTTCATCTTAAATGCATATATTTACAGCTATCGAATTCATAAATGGCTTGTTACAAGTGAAAATGAGCAAACGATTCACAGTCTCCAAAGCTTTATCTCATATTTGGATGCAGGTTGGTGAATGTCGATATATGATGATATCATATACTACTTGTTAACTGTGTGTGAGTGTGTGTGAGTGTGTGAAGCGATTCAAGTTAGCACATTTCGCTGTACTTATAATAAGTGTTTGATTGTGAGCGTGAAAATCGAATGATGGACTAAGAAGAGAAAGGGCATGTGAGAAGCTTATTCGCTATCAAACAACAACATATATTTGCATGCAAATAGCGGGAGCGAAAAAAAAGGAAGAAGGAGATGAAAAAAAAGAAGTGAAAAATATATTCCTTAATGTATATATCACTATTGCAGGGTTATGATCTCTGGTCAGATTTGCGTTTATTAGAAAAAAGCGTTGGTGAACGTTATCTGACACATGAAAGTGACGATGCTCGATGGACAGACTACGAGCGCGAGCACAATGTGAAGCCAGCCTACGTGTAGCTGATGTAAAGTGATAATTCAGGAACATATACGGTCATGATGGTCTATATTTATACAAATGTATACCATATATACATATAGTAACTTAAAACAGATAAGAGCTCAATTCGGATTATTACTAAGCATGTCTTCCGTTTTTTTTATTTTTTTTTCATTTCCAAACATCCACATTCGAGATGTTCACTTCAATTATCCTACCTATCCTTTCCCTCACAATATCATTTTACTTGATAAGATTATATCGAAATTTCTTTTTTTTTTCCTTGTTTTTTTTCTTGTTATGTTTGCATATCATTTCGTGTAAACATGGTTCTTAGTCTATGTCCAATGATCTCAAGCCTTTGCATCTGAACTATATATCTCCTTTTCTCTCTCTCTCTCTCTGTCTCTCTCTCTCTTTCTCCTCTCTTTATGTCTTCTTCATTCTTCTCTGTCTTCTAAGCTTCTCAAATCATTCCTTTTACCAAATAATTTTTTGAAGTAAAAAATTAATGGAAACGGAAACATTTCTTATTTCCTTAGACAAATATTCCTTTCTTTCATATATATTTAGTTCAATTTATAAATAGGAATAGAAAAGATTGCCTGAGGGTGCATGTTGTACAGAATGATCTGTGTTTGCCTAACCTAACTTAAGAATGAAAAATCTATTTTCAATTCTCATATTCATTATACCTGTGACTTACATTTATAAGTTTATCATCCGGTTATACAGTTACTTCCTTTATATTTCACTTTTCATATCATCATTTGTGAATGCTTTGAAATACAGAAAGAAAAGAAGGAATGACAAGGCAGTACATAAAGAGTTCACATATAGTTATCTCTCTCTCTTTCTCCCTCTCTCTATACATATACTTATACATATATATATATTCTAATTACTTAATCATAAATTATTATAACAGAGTTATTGAAGAAATACTCCTTTTTTGGCCCCTTTTTTTGTTTCATCCAAAAACCCACCCATCTCCTATCCTACTCTCCCTTCTATTCTCTTTTCCAACTCAGTCACTCTCTTTTCTGCTTGTTTATCCTCTTCCATAGATGAATAAGAAATTATCTGAAATCAATCGTTTTTTTATGTGCAGATCGATCTGATTATATAAAAATTTTTATTTTTACAAGCGAATTCTTTAGCTGCTCGCTTAAGACACTTTTATGGTACGATATACGGTTGCAGTCTAAGTATAGACACATTCAAAATGGATTACAGACTTTAACCTTTTTATATTTCGAAAGACAGTTTCAACGTTCAATTCCAAAGTATCTTTTTACAATTTCCCTGAAACATCATATTCTCAGCAGCCGGAAGTTCCCTACATGGTCAAGTAGAAGAAGAAGAAAAAAAGATTTTTTCTTTAAAATAATGCAAAACAAGGAGGCCACATGGTTAATTTCTCTAAGATTCCCAACAACAGTGATTCATAGAGGATGTAGATGGTAGATGAGAAAACAATGGATGACCGGCTGTATTCACATGGCATTAATTTTCAGCAAAAACCGTTTATTCACTTAACATTTCGCTTCATATTCCTCACACCCCTCTTCCTCATCAACAGAATCAGAGTCATTGAATCGACATGATCCTTTGAAGGACAACGCCAACTCATAAATGCAAACCATTTTCAAATTTTTTCAGATAAAAAAAAAAAGAAAAAAAAATCAAAATCGCATTTTCTGGATAATATCAACAAGCCATATAAGGCTGTAAATCATATATCTTGAATTTCTACACGTCTATCTGTCTGTTAGAGCTCGGCTGAACAATTGCATCTACACATTCGTACATGGAAATCAATCATTGAACACCCTTTTTTGATAGATTTCGGAGGAATGTTATGAAAGTGATTGGGAACTCTTATGATGGTTTGTTTTAATGATATGGTAGCGCATAAAAGCTTCATCGACACTAATGAGAAGACGAAGAGAGCACAGAGAGGGTCAGAGAGAGAGTTATACGTATGTGTGAATGAGATATGATTTTGAAGCATTGTAAACACACAATAATCATAAACAATACATTCGTTGGAGGTCATAAAAGAGCTTATTCATAACCTTTGTGCCAGCTTACCTTATATGCAACTGATAATAAATATGCTTAATTCACGAATAGCACACTATGAAATCATGCAGTGCTAAGCATGAACGCCATACGTATGAACACATTTGTGCTTTCATGCCCACCTTCTATCGCATAGCCTCTTTATCATGGAATTTTAAATGTTTTCAGTAGAAATTATTTATTTTTATCATCAAAAATACTTGTGATTTCAAATTTGAAACTGAAGAAGGCTGTTATCGGCAGTTTTCACACGCATAGACCACCTGAATATTAGATTTGGAATCTATCTGTCCTATTCAGAAGACAGTATTGCTGTTGTTAAGGTTTTCATCTTTCAACTTTTCTGACTTACATATGGTTTATGTCAATGTAATGACTCTACACGTGTTTTCATCTTTTTTTTTTTCATATAATCTTCTTAATATTGCAGAGTATTGAGGTTATTGAATAGGAAGAGAGGATGAGCGAGAGAGAGAGAGAACCCTCGTGCTCGACAGTCGAGAGACTGATTGGGAGGAGAAAACATTTGAAAAAACAGTCCAAGTTGCTGTGATCTTCAATAGTGAGCTATTGCAAAACAGTTGTAAGAGGAATGAAAGAGCTGAATATTACTTTGTTCATTGAATACGTTATCAAACGCTCTGCGTACTATATACAGAAGTTCATTCTCTCCTTTTGATCTTTTATATATAAACTTCTCTTGTTTTCATATCGATGACTCATTTAGAGAGGCCTAACGCTTATGGTCCCATCATACAGTTATATGGACATATTATATTGTGTTTTATGCACATTGCTTGTAACATCTTCATTAGATATACTGATGACTAAAACGGTTTAGAAGAAGGAGGAGAAACAAGAGAAGTGTGGAAGTTTGGAAGGCGGTCCTTCGCAACACTCTGCTTGTCTCATCGATCTGTGAACTAACGGCTCATTGCTTTTACCCTTTTTGCTATCTGTCATGCTTATATGGCGTTTATGCCTATATCCTCTCTTTATTATATGTATATAGATATGTGGTCAGTAGAGACTATCCACACTTTTCAGCAAAAAAAAGAGTTTGCGAAGCAAGGATTGAAAAATGGCTTACGATGATGGAACTCTCAAATCAAATGAACTTTTGAATCCCAGAGGTACATCTTTCTATCTATAGCTTGTGTTTTGATGCTTTATTCTAACAATTTATTCTTCTCTGTTCACTTTTATCTCTTCCAAACGGGATTTTCCTTTAGCTTCATGAGGATTTTCTAGCGAATCAAGTATTCTCTCTTTCAGTTAACAATTTGAACCAAATCGTCTCTGATTATGCCAGAATCAATCAAGAGTTATCCGATGCACTCAGTTGGGGACATGTAGTAATCAATCGAATCAGGACTCTCCAGTTTAGTGAGGAAGAAGCTAAGATATCCGATCTAAACAGGCTCTTCCGTGCATACCAAGACTTCATTGGTGGAAAGTTCCAAGAGTTAGAAGAATTATCTGATAAAGTCTATCAAGTTTAAGCCCTTACATGGTAAACATCATTTGATTTTTGATCTTGCCCATATAAGAAATTTTTCAAATTCTTCAGATTCATAAAAAAAAAACAATTGTCTGTTTCAAATGGGTCCAACATCAAAATATATTATTGAAATCGATTCATCACATATGAGGGGAGAGTGAACCAGATAGTAAGTATCAATGTTCCAATTATCATCATCCTAATCATAATACCAATTTGAATCTTTGTATTCCTCTATGGCGAGGAAATCTAATTATCATCGCTCCTACTGTTCTTGTCTTTTTATGAAACAAACGGTATAAATAAAAATATTTTAATGTTTCCTCATAGATGATTGTATGATAAAGACGGTTTTGTTGATGTTGCAAATGTCATGCTAATAAAACAAAAACGTTCCATCTTAACATCTCCCAAAGGTCAAGCTTATCTGTCTATTTTCAAATATTCTCTTACCATCAAGCCTGTACATGGTTGAGGTGTAAGCATGCGCAAATGTAACCTCTCATCTCGGTCTCTTTCTCTCTCTCTCTCTCTCTCTCTTTCCTAACTTCCAGCATATGAGAATGAAAACAAATGCCTTCTCAGCTCATGAATAGATTTTTAAATATTAGCGATCTGTATTGCTATTTTTGGTTGTCATTTCAAACTTTTCTCAACAATTGTATTTCAACACATATACACCACGCATGTATTATCAACCATCTATCTAGCAAACAAATCAAACCTTCTTACTCTCTCTCTCTCTCTCTATTTCTCAAGCAAATACATCAAGATTATCTGTAAAAGTGAACTTTGTCAAATAAATTCACAATCGTTTACCTCGCAAAACCGCCAATATTCATGAAAATGTCTGTCTGTCTTACCAAACAACCAAAAAAACAAAGCAAAAACGAAAAAATTTTCTTGCAGAATATTGATTGCCTTTTAAATGAAAATATGAAGAAAGTATTAAAATATGATATTCGCTGACTCAGCTATTGTACTCTTCAAACGTTCATCTTCAACATAAAAAAATGAAAAGCCATCTTGACATTTCCGGGCTAGCAAATGCCAAAAACATGAAAAATTCTTTCTAATTTATAGGAATCTCACCGGGTTACAATTCCAATTCAATCTTCCCCCCGGCTTTTCGGCGTTCTGATGCATTTGATGGTCATTCGTCACGAAATCATCAGTTCCTTCTATTTTGCTTACAGGCAAAATCAATTCGATTTTCAAGATTTGCAGTCGTATTCCATAGACGATCATCCTAGAAGTACAGTTATCTATCCGGGCGGAAGCTTCAATCCGTTTACTAACTATTCTTTTGGAAACAAAAAGCTCTGACGTATATGCATGCCAATTAGATGAATGGATATGAAAAACTGCCCACTACCAGCTTCATTATGAAACTGTGCGTTTGGAAAAAAACTGAGATTCCGTAGAAGACAGTTGTCATATATCAAGCTTATCCATTTTAATCCAATCCAATCAGTTAATACCCGCTTTTAAGGCATTTTTTTCCATTCTCTTCGCAAGCCAAAGAGATATGTAGCAGTCTGATATGATATAATAAACCTTAATTATAATTAAATATTAATGAAGAGCATATGCATATGTACTTCTTACTAGACATACACAGAGGACTATTGCCTTATCAGGATATTTACGAATGTCGGTCAGACACACACTTTCTGCTGATGTTTTATGAGTCTCTTCATCTAAGTATGAATGTAATCAGACATGTCCATTCACACATTTCACATTTTTTAAATTATATTTTGTAAATGATCTAATTCAATGTTTAATACAGTTATATAAAACTGTTATAAATAGGAAAAGGGAAAAATGATGATTATAGATATCATGATAAATGATGAAATTAAAAGTTGTCTAGATATGGAAAGAAAACTTAAAAGAGTTCCACTAATGCAGCTTAACCTAGATAGACCAGAGTAGGTTACCGCTTAATAAGTATTTATCAGTTACGATTTATGATTGAAATGACTCTTGTCGCGAAAACTGATTCGCATATCGAAAAATATAAATATCAAAGTCCTTAAAGTACAAACTACCAGTGTGCCATAGTAGCATCCTCTCACTATTGGTGAAGCCTAGACAGTGTTCAAGCAATGAGATGAGAAAATACAAAAATTTCCAGCTGAAATTCTGAAGAAGCTAATCATATTTAACCGTAATTGATCAAAAAGCTTCTTCATTCTTTTCTTTTTTTTTTGATTGAACCAGCATTTTTTATCAAATTATCTGAGAAGCCTCCGAAATGCTCGATGTTAATGAGACTGCAGATGATCGAGACAGACAGGGAAAGAGTGATAGAGAGAGAGAGAGAGAGACTAAGAGATAAAGTCTTTAAGAAGAATGATGAATTTTAACTGATCTGGTTACTAACTTCTATGAAACGATAATGATTCCTGATAGTTAATAGAGCATTTAATGGAAATCTAAACTAGTTTGACAGATCCGTTCAAAATATTCATCAATTTATCGTATCTCTCCAATCGAGTGCAATACCATTTGTTAAATTGTCTCAGTTCACGGATAAATTAAGAAAATATTCCTTAAGAACAAACTCGTCATAGTGTTATGGTTTATACGGAACGTGTCTACTTGAAAAGGAGGTGCAGCAGTGATTTTCGTGAAAATGCAGGAAAGTACTTGAACCCTTCTCAGAATTTCGCATGTTCCGAGACATCTGGTCAACAGATGTATTGAACGGAAGAGGACTCAGATAAGAACGGATTGCAGGTGATTTCAACGAGAGGAGATAACGAAAACTTCTAACTGGGTCTCTCACTTTCGTTTCCACCTTCAATATTTCAGCGGACTGTTAGCCTATACTGCACAGAACTAGGCAAGAATTGGGTGCGGTTGAAAGAGAAATAAAAAAAAAAGTAATTAGATAAATGAAGGAATAGACAAGTGATATGCGAGAGAGCTGTTTGTAAGTACTGCATTGAACGATTGATGAATATCCCAACACTGTCAATAACGGTTACTGGACGAAGCACAGGATATAGTCATTGGTTACATTATTTCTTATCTGGAACATGATCAACGATCCTATTTATTTTCTTCAAATGAACAAATACGGTGCTGTCACAATGAAGGTGTAAAGACGAAGTCAACTTAATCAAAATATTTATTCAAAAACTTTGGCACGGTAGCATGAATGAAGAGGAAAACACTGAACATGAGTTGTCGGGAGACCTATCAATTCAAGCTTGAACTAGTTGGGAACTCGCCAGAAGCTTCAAAATGGAATGTTAAGACGTTGGAAAACGTTTAAGATAGGAAAGTGTATGGTGGAGTAATACCAAGTATTCTATGGATTTTGTTATCCTCAAATACATATCATGGGTCATAGCAACTTGAAATACTAACTTACCGCTGATGAACTTGGATTATGATAGATTCAGCTTATTAGAGAACGTTCATTGATTTCAATGTTTGTCTCACAGAACACTTATAATAACATTCATCTTCTCATTTCCGGAACATGCTGCCATTGCCAATGACGAGAGAGAAAGTCTGGATTCCAATTGTGATGTCGTGTCAACTTCTTGCATTTGTATGATCGCCAATCACTCCTTTACAACTACGCTATTTCTCGAAGATACAGAAAATAAGAGAAATTTCTCGACTTATCACCCGGATAACTTCATCTGGTTTTTTCGTTATCTCTTTTCTCTCCCTCTGTCTCGCACTAATTATGGACGGTGCACGGACCCGCCCCTTATCCGATCCTTTAAATGGTCGAAGGACTCAAAAGACTGAGAGCGTCCCCACTCCTCCACAGTTCGTTTCTATTTAAGAAGCTTTTGTGGTCTAAAAATTAAAATGGAATCAGACGGCCGACTAAAGGCCTATAAATTCGTCGCTTATGCGGCCGTCAGCTTCTCCATCGTTGCTGTCCTGTCAGTAGTTCTGACCCTGCCCATGGTATACAACTATGTAAGCCATGTACGCAGACAGATGCAACACGAGATTTCCTTCTGCAAGGTTTGTTAATTATTTTGTTTAATATTCATTTTTACTTTTACATTTTAACAACTTTTTATTTCATTATCATATTCTCATGTTATTCATTTGTAGGGCTCAGCCAAAGACATTTTTGCTGAGGTCAACTACATGAAGGTTCATGCTAATGGCCCATCTGCTCCAGCTAACCGTACTGCTCGTCAATCCGGATACGGAGGACCAGAAGTCAACCCAGCTCCAAACCTTCAATGCGAGGGTTGCTGTCTTCCAGGACCACCAGGACCAGCTGGTTCCGCAGGAAAGCCAGGAAAGCCAGGACGTCCAGGAGCTCCAGGAACCCCAGGAATCCCAGGAAAGCCACCTACTGCTCCTTGCGAACCAACCACCCCACCACCATGCAAGCCATGCCCACAAGGACCACCAGGCCCACCAGGACCACCAGGATCTCCAGGAGACCCAGGAGAGGCTGGAACCCCAGGACGCCCAGGAAACGACGGAACTGCTGGACTTCCAGGACCACGTGGACCCCCAGGACCACCAGGAGAGCCAGGACAACCAGGACCCCCAGGAGACCCAGGAGCACCAGCTCAAAGCGAACCACTCACTCCAGGAGCCCCAGGAGAAGCCGGAGATGCTGGTAAGATTGTAACACCTATATAAAGAAACTTTTCATTTGTTTGCAGGACCACCAGGACCACCAGGACCTCCAGGAGCACCAGGAAACGACGGACCACCAGGACCTCCAGGACCAAAGGGAGCCTCTGGACCAGACGGACCACCAGGAGTCGACGGACAAGGTGGACCACCAGGACCTCCAGGAACCCAAGGAACTCCAGGAGAGAAGGGTATCTGCCCCAAATATTGTGCCATCGATGGTGGAGTCTTCTTCGAGGACGGAACACGCCGTTAAACCTCCCTTTAGCGGTCATCGAATCCAGCTCTCCACGAGCAAAATTCTTACTTCTAACGATAATTTATTTTTTTTGTTTCATGCTTTTTCGCATATATTGCTCATCATATTTCTGTGCAATAACAGTCATAATAAACCTGTTGAACGGAACCATTCATTGATTTCCTAGATATTTCAACATCGAACAGGAATGCTTCAAGGAACCTACTTTTTCCAGATTTCAACCAGCTTTTTTGATTAACATTTCAAAAAGTGCAATCTTATGATTATCTTGAAGAACATTCCTTATAAACAAGAAAACATGATTTAGTTTCAATCAAATTTCAAGCAATTTTGTTTTGCAAAATCATTGTTCATTGTCCTTCACAGATGAGAAGCAGTCCATTGAGACTTATAATAATGAAAACTCTCGTTATCGTTATACAGTTATTTCACACTTTCCAGCTTACTATAATCACCTAATCGTGAAAAAAGACAATGAAAAAGAACTTTTGAAACAGGATTTAATCCTTATCACCACTGAACAAGACCTCTTCTGTGAAAAATTTTTCAGCGGAGACTCCTTTTCATTTCTTTTTTTCTCGTATTCGCTGTGTCTCTCCACGTCGTTTGACAGAATTGTGAACAGAATGATTGTTCGTTCAATTCAAAATCTACCAGAAGTTAACCGAGAAGCGAATATACTTCGCCTTCGGGGTTCTTTTTGTTCTTCAACAAAATGTTACGATATCATTAAAGTTCATGAGGAAATAAAAATGAAACATAAGTTTAAGTACCGGAACCCTTTTTCATGTTAAGGTTGTCTCTTCCATTACAACTGGCGAATGCAACCGCTCTACAATCATGATCTCGGGTAAATGAACCTATCAAGATGCGTCGATCTTTTTAAGGGAAGGGCAATATTGAGGCTGCTGTAGACGAATCAATAGGTTTATTACTCAAATTTGACTAGTCAGAGACGAACAATTGTACATATTTTGGAATATATTAATACTTAAGAATAAGTTTCATTATGGCAAGTTTTGCGATTCCTCGTTCCTCAGAAGGTTTCAAATACTGAATCGCTTAGCTGCTTCAGAAGCTACCATTTTAGCTATAGCAAGACTGCTAGTAGCTCCAGGAGATGGAGCATTACGCACATGCATTACTCGAGAAGAAAACTGGAAGAAATATATTACAAGTGTTATTATATTATTCTCATTACTTCTCCTTTTCCGCTATCAAAAACAAAATCGTCTACTAAGTTTCCATTACTATCCATTGCCTGGGCTCGCACACCTGCTGGACCTCTGTTATTTTAGTTATACGGTTTAGAAACACGATTATATAAAAACCTCGTGACGTCTGAGAGTTTCAATTCAGGAATGAAACGCTGCAGTTGCTTAACCTGAACATATATGATAGCTTTAAAAGATATGAGCGATAGAAACTTGTGCTTGGATCCAAATTCCTCTATACATTTCTGTCATTCCAAACGATAAGTACTTCCCAACAAGCTTGTGCATTCCACTGAAAAGGGACGATTCATATAAACATGATAAACTAAAAGAACCTATAAGACAAGGCATCATACAAATCTTTCATCGACACATCGAAATATGAGTATCCTTCTCGCTTATAAGCTAGAACTGCATTTGGGCCTAGCCAAATATCTCCGTTCATCCGAGGAGTGAAATGAACGCCAAGGAATGGGAACCTTGGATCGGGTACCTGAAAAACATCTCATTTCAATAGCTCTCAGAAGTACTTCATACCGGATAAATATTAGTATTAACCAAATGTCTCTTCTCTCGCTTCAGCAAAAGATATTCCCCACTAAACCATGATTATAACTTAGAACTGAAAAAGAGCTCACCGGAATGGAACAATTTTGGGATCAGCATCACATCCACTAAGCTGTGCAACTCGATCAGCTTGTAATCCTGCACAGGTGATCAATTTGTTTGCATGAACATTGGCCTGAAACATGAACAAATAAGAAAGTTAAACGAGACGACAATTATTTTTTACATATCCATTGGACGTCAGTCGTATTGGATACTTTGGATCTCCAGAGCTTTCAATCGATTCAACTGGGTACTTAACAAAAACCTTAAAGAAAACTACTAATCTTAAACAAGATGAGCTGCCAAAATTACCGAGCCTCCTCTCTTCTCAAAGTCTTCAGCGAAACGTTTGCAAACGTAACCCCAGTCCACAATACCCGTGTGTGGAGACCATAAGGCTTTCAAACCCTGAAGATTGTTTTGTAACTATAGTACTATAACTTAGACACCTTGCAGTGGGGTTCGTACTCTTTGATTTCATGAGCTTCAATCATTTTGATATCTCGACAGTTATTCTTTTTCGCTCGTTCAAACAGAGCCTCAAAAACATAGATCAACGTAACGATAAAGTATTTCATCAAACTTCCAGCCTGGATACTTCGATGGGCTCGACTGCTACGATTAGTTTTCCCGTTTTCTTGTAAGGTACATTATTTTCATCAAAGAATTTGTAAGCCAATTCCATGCCTGAATAAGTTAGACTATGTTATATTCATTCTACGCTGTCGTACCCTCCACGCAAAGCTTCGCTTTCAAGGAACCCGGAGTGTAGTATATTCCAGCATGTATTACGCCACTGTTATGCCCAGTTTGATGAGCAGCTAATAAGAATTTGAACTGTTAACCGTCAACTCTGAATTACCAAGTTTCTCTTCCTTCTCCACAATAGCGATTTTCATATTAGGGTGGTTTATTTGGAGTTGACGAGCAGTCGCACATCCAACAATCCCCCCACCAACTACAACTAAGTCAAACTCCAAAGGCTTGCTTGAACAGGATTGAACTATCATTTGTTTCGCTAAAAACTTACAAGGATTGAACTGGAACATTTGAAACGGTCCTAGTTATAACTGAACCAGACCCTATAACCCGTGAGGTTCCAAAACAACGAGAAAACATTCTAAAAAGAATTTCTTTATTCAACACTACATGGTTACTCTACAATTCAAAAGGATGGGCAAACGTTATACATCTAAGTCAAGCAAACAAGCAAAAAAAACCGTGCTTCTCTACTTTTGTATGATTTACCTTAAAGGATTTGATTTGGAATGTATACACTTAGGAAATGGAAAGATTTCCGAAGTCTCAGAAACGGCACGTTCGCTACTGTTGTTGCGTACAGCGACAATCGCGAAATTGCGTATACTTTCTGCTTTGATGTAAAACTAATCTTACTATTCTGTAGAAGCCTATATATATTGTAAAGTTGATAAAACAGTAATAATTATATTTTCATTGAAGATATGTTTGCTTTGAGTAGGCTAGTAAGCCGTTTACCAGTTTATTGTGTAGCCGAAGCTTCATTTTCATCAGCAGGAGATGGATTAAGCGTTCGAAGGTTAGCAATTCATTTCGAAATACCTTTCTAATCAACACTCATTTCCAGAGCGAAACTCTTATATCAAAGCAAAAAGCGTGGAATACTCGAAAATGATATTCTACTGGGAGAATTTGCCGAGAAAAATTTGCAAAGCATGAACAAGCAAGCTTTAGATGACTACGATAAAGTGCGGCTTACCTTCTTACTCTTGATTCTACTTGTTGTTTCAGCTCATAAATGGCGATCACATGGAATGGGATCTGTTTTATTACTTGAGTGGGAAGAAAACACCTCCTGAAGACTTAGCAGCTTCTCCCATGTTTCAGCAAATGAAAGCTTTTGTAGATAAAAAAAGAGGATTGTAATTCACATAGTGTATGAACTAGATTTCTATAGAACTATTTTTGAATAAAACTCCTGATAAAAAAAGAAATTGTGTTCAAGCTTAAAAGTGGAGACAAGAATTCCTTTGCTAAAATCTGCTCAGTCAGCGTTCCATAATTCTGATCACATTCCAACCAGATGAGAAAACATTTTTGAAATTTCGAAAGTGATGTAGATGTTGTGAGTTATTTGAAATTCATGAAGTTCGAGTTGAATTGATAAAGGACTAGTTGATAATACGTTATCTGGAAGGACTAGGTAATTGGTTCCTATGTAAATCATCATTTATGATTACTTTCCAGAGTTATCTCTTTTTAGCGTCAACTTTCAGATGAACATACTGAACTGTTCATTTTTAGTCTATTTAATCAGCTGAAGCTGCCATTAAAGATCTTTATTTGATCATTTACAGATGTAAGAACGAATCTAATCTGCTAAACTTCATTTATTACTTTTTTTTCACCTCTTACTGATTAACATTAGTTTTGGATTATCAGCCATACAAAAATGAAGAAGATATCGTCAAAAACTTTTCTTCCGGAATTCCATTGCTATCTTAAGCTCCCTTAATTCTTCTCTTTTCCGCTTTCTCAGCTCTACATATTAATCACTGCAACCCTAATTTTGGTCTGAATGTTAAAATCGTTGCTTATCAATCACTTTTCTTTTTTCACTCATTTTTTCCTTCATATATTCGTTTATATTAGAACCACTCTTGAGTTGGCTGGAGCTTGGCACCGGTGTGTTTCAAGATGAGGATTATCCTCGGAATTTTGCTCATAGTCTTGTGTAGCCGAGCTGAAGCTGTCACCAATGCTAATCTGAACTTCACAGCTGATTCAGGAATCATTCACTCACCGAATTATCCATCCAATTATGATAATGGATTGAATTTTGTAATGTCTATCAAGGTACCATTTAACTTTCTTTTTTCAAATTTCAATGTTTTGTGTTGATCAATCTCTGTAAGACCTACTCTCTCCTGATTTGTCGATATCAGTTTGCTATCTCAGTCAGTAGCTAAATTTTTCTGATTGACAAGATTATATTGAATGTAGCCTAAGCTGATTATTTTGAACAAGCCTAGCATCTTTTGTGAATAACTAATAGTTTGTGTTTGAGTATCGAAGACACTTTTGGCATGGTGAACTTAGATACTCTCTTCATCACTGTCTTTTGTTTCCATGATTTACAACTCGTCCAAGAAATTTATAACCACTACACTTTCAAACTTATTACTTTGTCCTCTATGATAGCTAAATTGAAATTCACGAAAAACAAGTGATAACATTAATGTGCGATCATATGACGTTAAAATGAAAGCACTGCTTCACATTCTATGATCATTTCTATGACATCATTTCTCACGGCTTCTAAGAAACCCGAATGCAATACGATACCAACTTACATTTCAGTCCTGACTATGTCCAGCCTAGCTGGGTATCGGAAGATTTGTAAAAAAAAAAACAAAAAAAAGCAAAGCAACTGATTGCTTACTACGCAGTAGAGCTCTTCAGATTCGTTTTCGGGAGCATGAAAGCTAGCAAAACTACTGCAATTCTGGAATTACTACTGAGTTTGAAAATGAATGCTCGTTTTGCAGGTGGAGCCGGGAAACTACGTGTTTCTAACATTTTTGGACTTTGAAACTGAGGATTGTTGTGACAGACTTTACATCTTCGATGGTGATGGAGTTGGAGGTCCTAGTATTGCCAAGTAAGCTGATTGATTGAAGAAATTGTGATTCTATTGCCGTTTAGTGTGTCAGGAATCCAAACAGGAAGAAACTTTTCATCAACCAGTAATACAATGACTTTGTTGTTCTATTCCGACTTGATATACACATACCGTGGTTTTGCCATCAAGTATGAACAAGTCAAAGGTACAGAACTCAACAATTCAGTATAAATTTTCTGTGATTCCAGTTAATACACAAATAGAGGCTTCTAATCAGTGTGCTCCAAATATAATAACGAGTGTAGCAGGGTTTTTGACATCTCCCAATTGGCCTGGCAATTATCCAAACAATGTATCCTGCTCGTACAAGCTCACCAGCACTAAGAACAAGTTTTTAACTGTCTATGACTGTAGTTCAGCTGATGATTTAGGGTTATGATAACATTTGTTTCTTTCGACACCGAAGATTGTTGCGACAAAGTATACATCTACGACGGAGCTGGCATTGATGCTCCAACTCTCGCTGTGTAAGTAAAAGCCTCAGAAACGAACTTTAAGTTTTCTTTAGATTATCCGGAACTCCCAATTCGTCGAACATGACTTTTGTTTCATCGGGAAGCAATATGTTCATATTCTTCAATTCCGATTACACAAATAATATGATGGGGTTCTCCGCCTACTATATGTCAGTAACCTAACGTCCCTTGTTAAGATATGGGTAAAATGAAGTTAAGCTAAGAGAATTCATTCATACGTATTCATTTTACATACTCATATATATAATATATATATATATATTAGCATTACATTTCCTCAGCCATTAATTTTTACGATTAGCGGTAGAAGCATCCTTGCTGTAAAATTTGTAGGCTCCATCCTTGCCCTCGCAACTAAAAATGCATATTATATTTTAAGTCATATTTGTATATCATACAAGTAAGCCTTCTCGCCAAGAACAACGTTGTCGTTCAATGGAATGATGGATGGCACCTCATCGACCTGTTGTGAAAAGAATAATTAAATAATGTAATTTGAATGTGATGCATAAAACTGGTCTGAGATCTCTCAATAAAGGGTCTACCTCGACTATTTATTAAAGCCCTTACCATGCATCCTGTGATTTTCTGAATTCCATCGGTGCACACTTTTTGGAAGTGACCCTTCTCAATCCAAACTTCTCCTGTCAAGATAACTTTTATGTTGCAACTATTTTTCGCATATACCAGATTTTCTCTTTTTGCCTTCACTGTCACGGCAAGTTCCGTCGGTTTTGACAGGTCCAACAGAAACAGTTCCTTGGGGATGTTGATAGCATCCAAGAGTTATTCCGTCAAACTTAATCCATGTGATGATAAAAAAAAATAAATGAAAAGTTACATCTCTAGTAGCATTAGCAGGAATATTTCCGAGACTTGTGGTGCATTCAACCAAAGCTGCTCTTCCTTTGGTTTCACACTTGAATGTGAAGGAATCCTTCTTCCATGTGGTTCCTGTAAATATTTTTCATGGTTGATTACATACATTCTTTTAAAAAAATCTAATCCAACCGTATGGATGTCCTCCATGACAGTCTGCTCTCTCTGGAATGCTTTGACGTAAGCTGATGGAACCTGGGGGTGCCTCAGAGCAAGTCCACTCCACATTATCAATGACAAGAGTTTGATTCACACCAACCTATAATTAAACTGAGTGATTAGAAATTAGGGTATACAGTGTACTTTCGATCCTGTAGGAGTTATACAGGCCTTGACTAAGATTCTCCATGCTCCATTATCTTCTACTTTACAAGTCATTAAGAAAGCATTGCTGTCAGTCTGTGTAAAAAACTTCATTCAACTCTGAAGCATTGAACATACCCATTCATCACCATTCTTGTAAGTCTGCCCCTTATTTTGGCATGCAAAGACGGTTGCTACGAGCACACAAGCCAATACAACGGATTTCATCTTCAAATAAATTTCTTAAAATATAACCGCAAATAAAAAAAAGACAATATCATCGATCAGAAAGGGGTTTGAAATAGTTTCGATATATTCTGCTGAAGTTTCCGACAGCCGTTTCTTGATTTGCTTGATGAAAAATAGGTGGACCTTGCTTCTGAGATGGATGATCAACAGTTGCTTTGAAAAAAGTAGATGGCAAGAGCATAGGACGAAAACTTGAAAACAAATTAATGAGCCGGAGATCGGCGATCCCCTCATCAAAGGATAGAAACAAAATTCTCTCAGGTTTTATTGGAAAAACGTTTTATTGAACAAATATCTAGAAGTTATGATATGGCACAGTAATTCATCAAAGAACCTAGTAACACAATACAGTTCGACACTACATCAAATAGTTGGGATTAATGAACAAATCTAGAGCTCTATTAGTAAGCGAAAGGAATAAACAGGTAATTTTCACAAGGGTCATATAAAATGCTCACAGCGAAACTCACAGGGAAAGTGAATATCTACAGGCCGGATCGTTTCAGACAGATGTCTCCATAAGGAGTAAGCTGCTCCACAACCAATGTGCCGTCTTTCAATAATTCTAAACAGAGGATTTTAATCACATTATGTATAGCTTTTATCACCTAAAACACTTTGGAATGCTGCAGCAGCAGTTTTTCGTGAAGTTAATTTGACAGGGAAGATTTGGGATAAAAAAATGGGCTGAACACTCTCAATTATCACAAGCCTGAAAACAAAGAATATATCCCTTCTGGTGCAATAATCTATACGTTATTCTTTCTTTTGCAGATCGGTTTGCTTTGCTACCGAAATAGTTGAACTGCTGACTGGGAGAACTGCAAGGAAATGTGGTGATTAACAATCAATCGGGAAAATTATTACAATTCTTGAGATTCTTTCAGATTCGATTTCACAGTTTCATTGAAATCTGAATAACTAAAATTTTTTAACCGAACGACTTGTCCACCAACCGGGATTGGGTATGTTTCCAGCTAAAACAGGTTGGCTCAGAGAGTTGTCCTTCTGGGTTGTAGCATTAAGAATTTCAAAACAATTCCTGACAAATAGGATTAAGTTCAGAAAAATACTATTGAAGCACTTGCCGTTCAGGTGTTTCTCTTATATAACTATAACCATTCCTTGCATTCAACCAATTAGACAAAAACGATTGGGGTTCTGTTCTTTCCTGAAAAAACAAGGTTCCTAACAACAAGAGACAAATATACAAACCTCCTCAGATTCATCTTGTACAGTCTTCTGCGATGATGGATTTTGTTGACCAGGCTCATCACAATGTGGAGCGGTACAAGATTTAAATAAAGTTCTCTGAACACAGTCTGAAAGATTGGAATTCGGTTGAAATATGAGTAAGCCAAAAAATACTTTTAGGATACCAATAAGGTTCTACATTGAATAATTCCTCAGCTGTTGGATATTTTTTCTCCTTATAAAGTGAGGGACGACTCATAGTGTCCGAAAAATCATCCATGTTTGCTCGAAGTTGGTCCTAAAGAACAAAAATAGAAAAAAAAAAGCTGAAAGTCTAACAAAAGTTAATTGCATAATCTCATCACGTAGCAATTTACGTTTCCTGGCAGGCGCTACAGATTTGAACGGATGTTTCAAAGCTTCCAATTCAAACTCCAAGGACTCGTAGCTTCTTCTCTTAGGAGTGTCAGGAAGCGGTTTGATGACCGCTAAACTTGTTTGAGTGTGTTGAGGTGACAAGTTTACAAGTTCTTGAGAAATTTTGAGCAAGTCATCCTGGAATAGAATTCGTATTGATTGAATGTAAGTTCAACAACATTTTCTCCAGAATTATTCAAGTATACGTGTTTCTCAGTGGTTGATATTTCGATGATTTCGCCGTTCATCATTTCGTCTTTACTATTTTGGGTGCTAGTCTTAGCAGTAAGGTTAATGGGATTTTTTCGAGTAAACGAGCTATTGATAGAGGGAAGAAAGAAAGAAATCTCGTCATTCATCAGCTGAAAATAGAATGAGTACACTCTTGAGGGCTTGGAACTGACTTGTTTAGCACTGAAATTCAGATTGGTGAGTTTATCCTTTTCGGTATTTGTTTGAGTTTGAAAACAAGTTTGCTCGTCAAATCTGGAAAACGGAGCTTTAAGGAAGGGGCACCAACTAGCGCAAGAAAATACATGTCTAATGCGTTTCTATGATCAAATGAATCTAAAAGTAAGCTTCTTTTATGAGAGACTTCTTTTAATGTAATGAGATCCATATCAGTTGTTGCATATTCAGTATTTGGTAATGGCAAGTCTACCTGAAACCGAAATTCACAGTTTGAGCTTTTTGAAGTTTTTATTACCGCTTTGAAGAAACTCTCATCGAAATCGATGTGAAGATCATCCAACTGAGTTTTACTTTTCCTTTTTCCTTTCTTCGGTCTTAACTTGTGTTTTGAAACATAACTCGAGAGAGCCAAACCTGGTTGATGTTAGCGGCGCCCTCAATTCATCAAAACAGGAGATTCGTATGAAGGATTCGTATACTAACTGGGCATCAACTAAAATGAATATTGTTTTTTCAAGACTCATATGGTATTCAAGAAATCCTGTAGGTTACCTTCTAAGAGCATAAATTTTCTTTCCAGTATCAATGCCAGACCATATACTAATTGTGATGCCAAGTATAAAGACAGCTTAGTTTTGCTCATTTCCCCCTTCTTTCCTCGAGGAATCAAGTTATCGACTTCGGAACTGGAAGAGAGAAGAAATTATTAGATTTTTATACCATTGAAAGACCAACCAAACATGGACAATATCATATCCCTCGATAATATATGGTTTTACTTCATTCAACTTTCTTTGAGGAGCTGTAGCAAAAAACCAAGGCAGTCCGAAGACACCTTCCCTTAGAGCTTTGTTCAAATCTCTGACCATTTCAAGAAAACAGTATCAACAACTGAAAAAATACGCTGACAGTTTAAATTCTCAAACACACGTGGCGGAAGCCTATACGAATTTTAAATACCGTTTGAATCCGTGTACTTAATCTTACATGCCGGGACCATTTCTGCATATTCAAATTTCTTACCGCGCGATTTCACGTGAAGTGGGCTCACGGCAATGTGGCGCATGCATAAAGAGCTCACCACTATATGGCACATCGCAAGTTCAAAATTGAAAATGATTATCACGTGAACTCACCTGAAGCTTGAGAAATCGTTCATTTCATTTTACAACTATTGAAGATTGTGACACGGTTGTGAAAAACTTAACTCGAGCAAACAAGTGTGGAGTCTTCACTTTCAGATTTCCAAAACTTTTTTGGTCGGTTAAGATATAAAATTAAATATTCCAGAGCGAGACAGCTTCAATCACTTATTGTACTTTGGGGTTCATAGATGAAGTTATTCGGACCAATCAAGCAAATGAGAATTTGCATATTAATAACGAAGCCTCAATCCGTTGAGCTCTACATAGCACGTCGATACCTCGAAATACTGTGTCGGTGAGAGTATGCAGAAGTATGTGGGAGATATGATATTACATTCTTATATATCTGAGAACAGTTTTCCAAGATTTCCCTCCTACGTGTAATGCATTTGCCTGTACGAAATATTCCATCTATACGAAAGAAAAACTACAAACCACTTCTACTATTATTGTTACGTATTCACTTTCACTGCATTTTAATTCCGTGAATCCTTTTCACTAGTGAAAGTGGTTGTCCAATTTGACAAGTTAAGTAGGTCATCGGAAGTAAAATCCTCCAGATTTCACTAGAATTTGTTTGTAATTATGAAATGGAAAACTTTAATAGAAAACAATTGAATTTGTACTTTTTTTGTCAAAATTTGATCCATATCAGCGAAACCATACCAATAACTAAAACAAACCTGGCTGTCCTGAATTGCATCTTGGGTTTGGAATATCAGTTCCGCCAGAAATTCTATCTGAAAATTCTGTTCCGTAATCGATTATCACATATACCGTCTTAGATATGGGTCGATGATCAGGATTACATAACGTGTTATGATTTTCCTTTCTTTAGATTGTCAATGCATTTCACAATTGCATGACAGAACTAAAGCCATTTATGAGATGACCTCAATCGTGAACAATAAGCGAACACTGAAAGAGAAAGATTGAGAGTGAGAGTGAGAGTACCAGAGGTTAAGTCTGAATTTTGATTTGAAATGAGAGTGAAACTAGGCAATTGGGTCAATTTTACATCGGCTGGCGGCTCCCTCTATCGTCACCTTCGTCTCTGCCTGGACTACCTTTTCGTTCATCGCAATCCCCCAAACGTCCCTTTCTTCCATTCGCTTTCTATGCGATGACGACAATCAACGTACAACCTCAGGTCAGTTTCAGCTTTTACTTTGACTGTTGAAAAAATATGACTACAACTGAGCATTTTTCAATCGTTTTTTTCAATTTTATGAACGTTCTTACTTGAAATCAGTGTGTATTATCTTTTCGACCGACTGTATCAATTTCGCTATCAACACATATTCGGACAGTTCCTGAGAGACCTTTCCTATTTCCAACAAACTTCTAATCGTTTTACTTTTTCAAATCACAAGTTATCTTTTTCAGTCTATACCACTGGACTTGTCTAGCTTCGCTTTATCGTCATCGCAAATAATTCCTTCAATTTCTAACTTCCATCCTGCTCTTTACTCTCTAGTGGAACTTCAGAAACAGTATCAGGTTCGTCATTTCATATGCAGATTCGTTCATCCCCTAGTTGCAGACTTTTGGTGTTGATTCATCGTACAGTTCATCTGAACGTAATAATAACTTTGCTCCGATTCAAGTAGTTTTTTTGAACTTAAAAATCAATTCATAATATTATATAGGTTGATTCTTCTGGCTCGTCGTCTTCTTCCACAAAATCTGACACTGATTCCATTGCATCACCCCCACATCGTAATAATGTGATAGTAAAAGCAGATTTTAAGCGAAAAAAAGTGAGAATCTCTTAACCAAGAGAGCTTAACCTTTCACTCAGGAACTGGTGAAGGATAATGCTTATTGGGAAAGACGAAAGAAGAATAACGACGCCGCAAAAAGAAGCAGAGATCATCGTAGGATGAAAGTATGTTTTACATTTTGTTCGATCCTTTACGACCTTCAGAAACACTGCTGTTCTGTTGTTTCCTTAAACAAATTTGTTCTAATAATGGTATTTTTGAAGGAAGACGAAATCGCTTCCCGGGCTGCCTGTCTCGAACAAGACAATATTCGATTACGATCCGAACTTGAGCAACTACGAAATGAAACAGAAGCTTTAAGAAGTATAATCGTTAATACATCTGCCAGTCAACAACTCAATATAAAAGTAAGTAGTCTATTACAATACGATTGAATACCATTTTTGTAGGTTCCTGTAGCGATTCGCCCGAGCTCGACAGTTACATCATCCTCAAATCTTTTAACAACAATACCACCATCAGTTATTACATCAAGTAATGCTCAAATGCATATACAGTATCCTGATTCCACACATAGAAGTACAGTTCTTGTCACAAACTATTCAAGTTCTACGTAATGGCTTTATGTATTTAAACTCTTAATAATTTCACAATCATACATTTGTCTCAAATTTTTACTAACAATGGAATGAATATTTATGTCCAATCAATATTGTATTTCTCAATCGTTTTATTATCGGAGGCTATTTCCTAAGTGAGAAGAGCTAAAGAGCACCAATGGGATCCTATTGGCAAAGAACCATTTTTTTGCTACGAGTTTGGTAGTTAACGGTTAAACCACGCCCATTTTTTCGCGCCACTATTTTGCATAGTTGTTGGGTTGAGCGCGTAACATATTTTAATTTGATTCTAGGATAGCTACCGAAGTTTTTTCATCGATTTGTATTTTATTTTCGCGCAGAGCAATTGTGTTATTATCCCTTTTATTATGCCCGCGAGTGTTGAAGTACTATGAGTTGTACAGTCACTTCATTTACATAGCGTCCTAAGCAGCGTGGTCACGCTTTCTCGAACTATGCAGCTTCTCCAATATTTCATTTTCGAAACGCTTTCCGGAGACAAACAAAATCGATTTTTTGTTTTCAGTTAGTAGCAGAATATGAGCGACACTATTGCTGATCCAGCTGTAGCTCCACCAGTGGTATTTCTAAATAGGATTATGTGTTATAATGGAATTCATTAAGGAAGATAAGTCTCAGGAGCCAATGGAGACCAGCGAGGCTCCAGAGCAGGTAGCTCCAGCACCTGAAGCACCCGCCGCTGAGGTATACCAACAAAGAGAAATGTTCCAAATCAAAATATCCTACAGGCTCCAGCTCCTGCTGCTGCTGCTCCAGCTCCAGTCGCTCCAGTAGTCGAAGACAAGCAAGCTGCTCCTCCGAGCGCTACTCAAAACGCTGCTCCAGCTGCTGCCGGAAATGCTCGTTCTCATGCCACTATGCCTACTAGACAATACCTTGATCAAACTGTAGTACCAATTCTTCTTCAAGTTTGCAGTCTTTCTATGTCTTAACATTACCTTGCGTGTTGCAGGGTCTCGGAGCTTTGGCGAAGGATCGCCCGGAAAACCCAATTGAATATCTTGCCAACTTCTTGTTGAAGGAGAAAGAACGGTTTGGATCAGCTGCTACTGCACAGGATTAATAAGATTTTTGTCTTGTAACTAACCATTAACCCTGTGTAAAGCTAGATCCTTTGGTACTTTTTACCAAAATACCTCGTGTTATGTAACTTTGTTATTACCTTTATTTCATGTTTCTCAGCGTAATATAAGGTTGATAATGTTTAAATAAAACTTTACTTCGCTCTTCTCCATCATCACTTTTGGTTCCCTCCAAATGTTATCTTGACTCTTGTAGAACTCTGTTTTTCATAGCTTTTTAAGATGGTCAAGTTGTTCATTGGAAATTTGGCTGAAACTGTGGACTCCAATAAGATTAAAAAGGTTTTCCAACAATTCACTCAAGTGAGCGAATGTGATGTCGTCAAGAATTATGCTTTCATCGTAAGTTGAACAATGAGCAGAACAATGTTTATCAAGTAATTCAAGCGCGTTCCTGATGACGATGTAAATGTTATAATTAGCCGTTTGGATGGTTATATTTTGGACGGAAAAGCAATACAAATTAAATTGTAAAATAAGGAAAACAACTATCATTAATTCCAACTTCCTTAAGATCTACTTCTAAATTACGAGCTGTACCAGGTCTAACAAGCGCCCACTGCCTGAGATGTACATCCACCACTCATCGTACTCCTCAGTGTCCCCAAGATCCGCAGAATCAGTTCGTTGACCATGGATCAAAATCATTAACTTAGCGTTTTCAGAGTCAAAGAGACTATAAAAATCGATTTAACTAAAAGTTTAAAACGGGAGGGGGATGCCATGTACGATTTTGACCAAGTTTTTTGCGGAGGGTTAACCCTTTAATTTCAGAAGTGGTCCGGAACCAAAAAAAACAGTAGTTTCTGACCAAGAGATACCCAGGCCTGAAGAACCGTATGTAGTGAAACGTGTTTTCCCTAATTGCATGTTGTTCAGAGACTTACAAAATTTATATGAAGAGTATCACCAAACACGGCAAAGATATATATACTATCGTGATCTTCTAATCAAAGAGATAGAAGCTAGACGCGGTGTTGGAAATGTTTATTCGGCGCCTTCGAAACCTGCTATGACTTCCAACCAGTATTTTTTACTCTTTTCACCAAATATTTCAGGTCACCAATATATTTTAACCAATCCTACATACATACTCTTAAATGTATAAGCACATTCGTTTGTGCTGTTTTACTAATTCAAAACGATTTCAAATCTTTCATGTCGTTTTTTCTTTCGGACAATTTTTCTTTTTGATTTCGGTCGTTTCTTTAATATGTTTTATATTCATCGTGATTGTTTCTTTCCTGTCTTATTTTCGAATTCTCAGCCTTTTTCTCAATTACTCCATTAGGTGCGGTGGGTTTTTCTTGGGGTTTTGTCATTATCATTATTTGGGAAATTGATATCATCTTCAACATCGTTTATCGATTTCGTTTTATCAGTATCATTTTTACTTGGTGTCGTCGTTCGTGTTTCGAAAATTGGTGTGCCCTCGTCTCACTATGACGCTGTATAATCTTATTCTCCGTGGACATCTTTGTTCACCGTAAGCATTCTCCTTTTATTATATTTTTTCCAGGTTATCCTCTGCTCCTGTCTCCTACATATCCTCTCCTGGGAACGCTGTTCCATACTCTGTGCCTTCCACGCCAGGCTCCCATCCCTATAGCGTTGCTCTCAAGGTATTTGTAACAGAAAAACATAAACTATAGTATTCATTCAGGCACCCTACGCTCCTTCCTTGAACGCTCCCTATGCTTCTGCTTACAAACAAACTGTAAGTCTCATTATTCGAAATGAAAACTAACTCTTGTATTAAGACGGCTCCGAATTCGTCTCCCAGTGTAGTCTCTAGCTATGCGTCTTCGTAAGAAAATTCATTCACATTCAGTTAAATACTGACATTTCAGAAACATTGTATCGGCACCTTCAGCCGTAACACAAGTTACTGCCTCAGGTAAGGTTTCTGAGTGTGGAACTTACTAACCATTCATTTACAGTCGGAGCGATATCATCATACCCTGTACAGTTAGGAAATGCTGTGGGGGTTTGTAACTCAGACGTTCAAATTGTTATCTAACAATTGTAGGCTGGAGCTCCTGGAACAGGGCTTGTGAAATTGAACATTCAGTGATATTTGGAAAATATTTCATTTTTCACCTTTTACTTTGTAATTTGCAAATTATTAGATGATATTTCATGTCATTTATACGCTAAAGGAAATGTATTTCCGATCTCAGTGTTTGTATTTTTGAAAATAATAAAATATTATATATTTATTCATATATACATAGAGGATCGCCTCCCGCAACTGCATTGGGACAATGTCTAATATGTGAGCTTTTAAACTATTCTTGTAGCTTAGTGTTGGTCGAGTATGTGGCTTTCTCGTGTTAGTGGATTGATTAATAGGCAATCAATAGGTAATTTTCAATTCAAACTAACATAGCCAATATGACACCTGTAACTATGAAAGCACACAGTGCGAGAACTGCCATTCTGGAAAATAGGGAAGTGTTGCGGTTATTGAATGAAACAGTCTTACACTATCACGAGGGAATACAGAGCCAAGTCATCAGAGGATAGACCTTGCGGTTCTCTCCTAGAATTTCATTATTGAGCGAAATTACTTTTTCACGTACCTGTTGTGAACACGGATTCCCGCTGATTCTTTGGGGCACCTGTCGTATTCCATGAGTTCGATAATGTTCTCTGCGCTTCCATTCGTTGTTTGCTTTAGGAAGAATCTTCGTAACATCCCAGCGAAGGTTCAAGGATTAGCTCAACTTCTTAACACCGTTTTATTGTCCTGAAAATGAGATGACCGTATTCAAATAGTTCCTTTAAGCTCAATCCGAATCAGAGCATATCAACGTTTCTGACTTTTTTTATGCTTAAGGCTTTCGTGATTCCTTAACAGCTCTCAAAAAAGTATGTATTGAATAGAAAGTTCTTAGATAAATATTGGGAGAGGGGAAAGATAAAAGTAAACATTCATACTTTTACACGGGTCAGCTATGAACATGAGAAGTCTAAAAAAAAATTCACTTCTTGAAAAATGTTGAAAAGTAACATCATAGTAGATAGAGAAGTGGACGCGGAGTAGAAGATGTAGGCAAACATCAGTAGATATAGGTCATATTTGGTATTAATGTAAGCCTGCTCACTAACTTGAGTATTGTAATAGTCTTACGGAAGTTATTATGTTTTCCTTTCAGGCAGAGTCACACTCCGATCATATCACGCCGGAGGCTATCAGTATGGGCACCTACCAGATCCACCCAAATCTTCCTTCATTCCCGAAGGTTCTAAACTGAGTTTCAACGCTATAAGTACCAAGTGATTCAGGAGGCATGAGCTTAGAAGATAGTCAAAGAGTACATTTGATCAATGCCTATAGGAGATATGGCTACTTACAAGCTGAATTGGATCCATTAGGAATCAAAAAACCCGCAGAGTGATTGCTATATCCTTTCTGATAATTGTTTACACTTATGTCCAGAGTACCGGAGCTCAACCCCGCTATTTATGGCATCAATACGTCTGACATTCTTCCTGGAAAGGATTTGAGTATGAACGACTTAGCAGAACAGTTGAAACTTATATATTGTGGTCCAATGGCAATTGAGTTTATGCACATTAATGTAAACCTTGGATTTAAACAAAAATCAACATAATACTCATAGAGTTGGGAGGAAAGACAATGGTTGTCTCAAAATTTCGAGAATGCTGTAGCCGAAGAGCTAAGAGCTGAAGAAAGAGTTAATCTTGCTAAGTTGATGGTCAGATGTGAAGTAAGTTTATACGATCAGAAACAGTTCGAATTGACTTATAGGACTTCGATCACTTCTTGGCTACAAAGTTCCCAACTTTGAAGAAATATGGAAGTGAAGGAGCTGAGGCTATGTATGGCTTTTTCAGTGAGTTGTTCGATACAGCTCCAGAACGAGATATCAAAGAGGCAAGTGAAGATATCAGGACGAAGTGAAATTGAATGATTTTCTCAGATTTTTATTGGTATCGCTCACAGAGGACGCTTGAATCTATTGAATGAGTTGATGCAGTTCCCAACTGTTCAGATGTTTAGAAAAGTTAATCATTTGAATTAATAAGACACGAAATAATCTTTTTCTAGATTCGCGGAAAGACTGAGTTCCCTCCAGAAGTTCAAGGCGCAGGAGATGTTCTGTCACATTTGAGTGAGTACAGATTGAGATAATAAAAATATATTTTTTCTGCAGCTTCTTCGTTTGATCACTCAGTCACCGGAGGCAAGGTGCATATTTCAATGCTCCCTAATCCTTCTCATCTCGAAGCGGTCAACCCCGTAGCAATGGGAAAAGCTAGAGCCCGAGCCAGGTGAAGGAACTGTGTTACCAAGTTATCTTGTGTTTGCAGAAGCCTTCAAGCTGGAGAATACTCTGAAGAGCGAGGTTCTCGATCTGGTGACGATGTTCTATGCGCTCTGATTCATGGAGATGGCGCTTTCAGTGGACAAGTTGGTTTCTTCGAATAAATTGAAATCATTTTAACTTTTAGGGAGTAATTTGGGAGTCTTTAGCTCTCAGCAAGGCTCCGCATTTCCGCCTTGGTGGTTCTGTCCACCTCATTACGAACAATCAGATTGCCTTTACTGCTGAATCACACATTGGAAGATCCTCAACTCACTGCACAGGTACGAAATCTTGAAGTTTTGAAAATACTGTTCCATCCCCCAGATATTGCCAAAGCTTTTGAATTTCCGGTAATACATGTGAACGGAGATCATCCTGAGGTACTAACCTTTTCAAATGCAATCATAATAAAGTTCGCGATTGCAGGAAGTTGTCAAGGCAACAAGGCTCGCATTGGCTTATAGGGAAAAATTCCGCAAAGATATTTTCATAAATCTAGTCTGTTATCGTAGATGGGGACACAACGAGCTCGACGACCCATCTTTCACACAACCTCTTATGTACAAAGTACTTTCTCATTCTGAATACATCCGAAAATCTTTCTCATTAGGAAATCACTGCTCGACAATCAGTTCCTCGTGAATACTGTGATCTTCTGGTTGACGAGGGATTGATCACAGAAGAAGAAATCAAGAAAGAGAAGGAAGCGCACACAGCCAAACTTCTGGAATCTTTCCGTGCTGTTGATAGCAGTAAACCAGAGTAATATTCATAGAGTTAAGATCCCACCAATGTAACAACTCAGAGTTAATCACCTTAACGGGTATTGGAAAGGATTTCAACAAGCACCTGCTGCTGTAGAGCAATGGGACACTGGTGTTGATGTCAATCTTCTGAAGTATATCGGTGCAGCTTCTGTAAAATACCCAGATGGATTTGTCAGTGAATTCGGTTGATGTGCATGAACGCTCTGTTTCAGAATGTTCATCCCCATTTGAAGAAAACTCATTGTGAAGCCCGTGTTAACAAGCTCATCGCTGGAGAAGGTTTAGACTGGGCTACTGCTGAGGCTCTGGCTTTCGGTTCTCTTATAATGGAAAATAATGATGTTAGAATCAGTGGCCAAGATGTTGGAAGAGGAACGTTCTGCAACAGGTTTCACATTATCTGAACTAGTGAAAAACAATTTTCTTAAAGACATGCTATGTTAGTGGATCAAGTTGACGATTCTAACTTCATTCCGCTCAACCATGTGTCCAGTGAACAGAAAGGATTTTTAGAGGTTCAACTTTTTTCCTATTTGTCAATACTGCTGTTTTATCAGGTCGCTAATAATCTCCTTTCTGAGGAAGCCATCTTAGGTTACGAGTTTGGATTCTCTCTTGATAATCCCAGACGTTTGTGCATTTGGGAGGCCCAGTTCGGAGATTTCTTCAACGGAGCTCAAATCATAATTGACACATTCCTTGCTAGTGCTGAGAGTAAGCCGATATAAGTTACAGTTTTAATACGTTCATGTTAGGTAAATGGCTTACTCAATCTGGACTCACCATGCTCCTACCTCACGGTTTTGACGGTGCTGGACCTGAACACAGCAGTTGTAGAATGGAACGGTAAATTCCTGAATTACGCGTTCAGAACTTGTTGACGTTTAGCTTCTTGCAAATTTGCGATTCACGGGAAGATCAAGTTCCCGTTGATGGAGAGAATGTTAACTTCAGAGTAGCAAACCCCACCACTAGTGCTCAATACTTCCATCTTCTCCGTAGACAAGTGAGTATTTTTTTTTTTGAGTACCGAACATAATACTTATATTTTAGGTTATTCCAAATTATCGTAAGCCACTTGTAGTTGTTGGTCCTAAAATACTTCTTAGACATCCTAAAGTAGGTGCTCAATATGTAGTAATAGACAAATGGTTCCGTTTTTTCCCGTATATGAAAGGGTCCGCCATTTTATAATATGTTTTACTGGCGGCTCCTGTCATAAATTCCCCGACACTTCGAAAAAAAAGTAGACACGTGTGTTGAGCGAAAGCTTCACTCAGACTTTCATTATCTTACAGAATTATATGAGTTCAGAAATATTGTAACAAACCATATTACAGGCAGCCTCTTCCCTTACCGAGTTTGCCCCAGGAACTTCGTTCAAACATGTTATTGCTGATGAAACTTGCAATCCTCAAAATGTTAACAAGGTTTTGGTGTCATAGTTACCGTTTTGAATACTTTATTCCAGATCATTTTCACTTCTGGAAAGCACTGGATTGCTGTAGAGAAAGCCAGAGACGAGAGAGGTCTTAAAGATTCCGTGGCTATTGTTCGTCTAGAGAGTTTATGCCCCTTCCCTGTACAGGCTCTTCAAGAAACTTTGAAGAAATACCCCAAGGCAACAAGTAGGTTAACCATGTTTATACAAATGTCTACTTGACCCGAGTTCTGCACCCCCTAACTTCTGAAATCAACAATTGAGGATGAGCGCTAAGAACGTTTGGCAGGTGTACATGATGACCGTAGCTAACCTTTTATCTGAAGATTAAGGATAACAATATCTACTAAATATCAAAAAAAGGCAGCTGGATCGAGATTCATATCCGTTATTCCATGGAGATACTGCAGAAGCCATGTGGCAGGTGCACTCCATTGTTCCAGTCACTAAGGTTCAAGGACTGAGACTGTGTTGTTTCTTTTCCAATTGGCCTCTTCTCCCTAAGACAGTACTATTATGGTATTAGACAATTAGCGATGGTCGTAATTGTCAGTCTGCATAACTGAATTCCTGATAGCTTCGAGTTTATATGGATTTACAAGAGTCAGATGACCTTCGATATTTTCGCGAACCTCGAAACCTCATCTGCTACATGTGTTGATTGACTATCCGGCTGTTAAACAACAACTCAAAAGTGTGAATGGGCTCTTTTGGTATTAACTAACGTTTATATGTCGGAAAATTAAGTTAATGTAAATGAGCGGCAGTCATCAAAAGACATTTTTAGCTGTTGGAACAGCTTTGATGACACCTTTTATGGAAAAATTTAATGATTGGGTGAGAAGATGGGTCGTTTCCTTTTCTTATGACTGATTTAACGATATTTTCGATGTGAGAAAATTCTTTAATGTCGGATTAACAGTTTTCCGGCTTTAATGTTTTGACTGTTTTCAAATTTGAGCGACGTAATTCCTAGGTGAAACACAGATTCTCATATCGATAATGATCAAGCAAGTGTAGTCTTCAAAAGTTCACCAGTGAACCGAACACCAATCCTTTATCTTAATGATAAGATGTGTAATTAATCAACTTTCAGACTTTGTTTGGTCTCAAGAAGAACCACGTAATGCCGGAGCTTGGACCTTTATCCGTCCACGTTTCGAAAACGCTCTAGGAATTTCGGTGAGATACTATATCTGAGCGCTGGTGAACTTCTATTTTCAGCCTAAATACGCCGGAAGACCAGAGCTGGCTTGGACTGCCACAGCCATCGCTGAAGTTCATGCTAAAGAATTCGAAGATGTGATCAATAACACTTTTGCTTAAAGTACGGTGCTGACATAATTAGAAAGATTGTTTCATAAATAATAATATAGAGTAGGCTGTAACAGCCTCAAAATTTTTTTTTCTTTTTTCTTCCTTTTTTTGCTCAAGGGATTTGTTTACGGTTATTGTATGAATGAAACATATACTTCCAGTTCGGTTACGCTTTTTTACCAAATGCCTTTTATCATAAAAACAATTTGAAAAATAACGATCCTCTTAACCTTCATGGAATGATGCGACAAATGTCTTCCTATTATCCGCTTTAAAAAGAAGAAGACGATTGCTTTTTTTGCAGACTTTTTCAATGTACGTAAAAGGCTACTGCCACCGGTAAATCTGATCAATCATCGGTTCTTCTTTTTTTTGCAGAAAAAAATCGATTGGACCCAACTTTTTTCTCATTCCAGTTATGTAAATGTAGTTGTCTGAGGTCGCATTGTACGCTTTGTCTTCTTTACTTAAAGCTTGTAATTGTGTCGTTGGCTTTAGCCGAGCATAATTTGATTATGGTCGAATGGAAAGCTCGAAACCCTCGTCCATTTTCCAAAAACCATATTGTAATTTGTAACCATTAGATATACTCGTCCATAACTCTAGATATTTCTGCACTATAGTCACAATACCAAAATATAGTTTTGGCGGTTTGTCAACACAAGCGACGGTAAATGAAAACATCTGGTTGACCTCCAATGTCGTCAGTCGTCCATTTCTTTTTTATGACACCTCAAATTTCGTTAGCTGATTAATGAATTCCAAAGACAGTTTGAAGATTTCTTCGTCCATTCTTTAATCTTCTTCCTGGATTGCTAGTTTGAATTTTTTTTCTTGAAAATGAAGTATCTACCATTTCTCCTCTTCATTCACTGACGATTGAGTATTTTGTGGGAGCGACAAAGGTTTGCGGCATCTACGGAAGTGTGGTTTGCTCAAAAACCAAATTGGTTTCGCTTTGCTCCTCTCAATTTCCTGATCTTTAAGAAGATAAACCGTAATCGTGAGATTGTCATCTGTTCTCTCTTCCGGTACTATGTGCATCGCGTTTACAAAGTGTTAAGACACATTGGCGGCATTTGAGAGCATAAAGTCATCTGGAATAGAAGTTTGACCTGTAAAAAGCTTGAACTAACCGTGCTGGGTATCTTTTAGTTCTTTTTACAACATCTGGTCTGTTTTCTGAACGTTTTTTATTCATAACCAAATCTTGTGTTCGCGGCTGACTCACTTCTTATTTTTGGTTGTCTTCCCTATGACAAGTTCGAATTTTTAATTTACTGTCTCTCAGAAAGAATGTTCTCTTTTAACTGGCCATTTATCCCTTCAACTTCATTTGGAAAACTATTTTACTTGTCGTTCTGAGACGCGCTCGTGTGATTCCCTCATCTCATCGTTCTCTCATAATACATTTCCTTATTAAGAAAATAGTTTTTAGTATGATGTTTGCTCTCTATCCATGTGATCAAAGAACTTTTCATATCTACTCAAATCATTATAGATCAATTGATTTCTTCTCGGATCTCAAGTTTTCCGTAGACAGGTGTTTCGGATTTTTCATGTTATCATAGGGGGTTAGCAGGGTCCTATCAAATTTCCTCTCCGCACAGCTGCGTTTTACTTCAATCTCAAGCCAGCGAAAAAATAGCTCATAAACCTTATATGTCATATTTATATACTAACAGATGATAGCTCTTGACCGTTCTCAATTTTGTTATGTAAAACTGTACTGGCGTCTATCTGAGATATGATCAGAATGATGGACGACAGTCAATACAAATACACCTGACGATATTGCTTAATCCTCTAATTTGACTGTAATTTTCTAAACCCGTGAAATGATTATTGCATATTTAAATTATTATCCCACATATATCTCTCCAACAGTATATATCGTGTGAATATTACGAGTTATCTGTCCTTTTGTCGTGGCAATATTTCAATGGAATTCTTGTCTACCTCAGAGCATGATGACCATTTAAGCCGTCTATAACATACATCTGTCGTTTGTTTTTGTTTTAATTATGAATGTCCTTCTATGAAATGAAGAAATTACCGTAAGACTTATCGAAATATGTTGAAATGTGTACACATAACAAGTAGTATGCATCTCATCATCAATTCCATTTGTGGATGATGTTTGTCCTCTGTTGTACAGCAGCAGACAAACAAATCCGTAAGAGTTTCAATACGGTTATCCTTTTTTCCATCATTCACCGACTTCCTTTCAACTTTTATAGTCTAATCTAACTTTTCATCTTCTTTCTTTTATACTACACAATAGAATTCCATCTCTATCTGTACCTTAAACTATTGTCAGACACTTAATTCTTTTTAAAAAATATAATGTTGAATGGATTTCTTTCTCCCATTTCTCCCTCATTGATATGTTGTCTTTCACTTTTTTTTCTGCCGTTTTTCAACTTTCTTTCTATAGTTTTAGCCGAATTTTACTCTCTCTATCTACGATTATACTTTCTTTCATTTGCCAAAAGTTAACCGCCTCCATTTGACACCAAAGATGCCGATCTGCATCTGACTGAAGTCTGAACAGTCTGACAAATTGAATTTAGATTGTGTTTTGATTCACCGAACAGTAGATCTTCTGACCTTTTACAGCTAGAAACTTTGATTTCGTTCATAGATAGCTGAACTAAAATTTACCTCTGTGGGTTAGGTGCAAGACGTTCCAAGCTGTCCCACTTTCACTTTGAACGCATTTTGATGGAAAACTTCTCTTCCATATATGTCTTTTAGTTTCTGTCATGTTTATTGTCGTTTTTGAATGCTTTATTGGATGGAAATCATTTGAGAAGATTGTCCCTGTCTTATGCTATTCAAATATTCTCGAAAATATTGCTCATTAAAATGTTTTTTTGTTTAATCTTCTGATCAGTCACATCCGTTGAGATTGATAGACTCATTTGCTTCCTCTTCAAGTATGACATCGAAGATAATTCACAATTTATGTTACAATGAAAGAAATTTTTCAAAATTTTTCAACATTCTGCCAGACAGCATTTGCGCCACGCGTCATCTCTACGGATTTGCTAGATGAACAAGTGTCTGCGTTTTTTTCTCTTTCGTTTCCCTAGCTTGTCATTTTTCATTTTCTGCTGCTACCTTCTTTTCAAAATCGTTTCCGAAGCGTAGGCACAATTAGCCACGTGAATACACGTACTGAGTTAACCTCACGTCACCACGTGGTTATGCTCATTTTGATCTAGCAGTAGAGGTTGAGAACGGTTGTTGATATGCATATTGTGATATCAATATCACATCTCTAACCAACTCATCTATCTTCTACTAATTTCTATTTATTCTAATTTGCGAAAAATGCGGTAAACGAGCCAATGTTGTGATTTAGTTTACACTTGCTATTTAATGTCGTTTTGATGGTCAAATGACAAAGTCATCAGACATATGTCTGATATTCATCTTTTTGATATATTCATTAGGTGATACTCACTTATTCCAATACTGCAGTTTTTTGATTATCTATTATATAAGCTTTACTCTTAGTCCCAGTTGATTACCGTTTACTGGTCCCTCTAAGCGTTGTCTGACTCCTTCTCTTGCTCTGAGAAGGCCTTGGCAGGTATTATATCTTTTTCGATCATAATGCTTTTCTTACAAACCCTAAAAAACTGATGGGTCTTGTGAAATGTATTGATGCAGGTGAAGGTAATCAAATGTGATCGCATGAAGGTTAACTCCTTGAGCTTATAAAGCTATTTTATGCAGATGTCACTAAAATGTCCTGATTCTCATTTATATACAGCTGTCGATTGTAGAGCATCAATCTGCATGTAAGAATGAAGAAGAGAGATTATACGTGTTCCGAATGGTAGTACTCTTAAGGTATGACTGCTGTTCCAAGTTCTTAAACAAATCCGTAGTTTTGAGTTATAGCTTTTTCGGGCTCTTGGGAGGCAAATGTCAAGCTGAAAACTTTACTGAAGTTCGAGTGACGTTCGTCCCTCCAAACTCATATTAAATATCAAGAATGCGTAAGGATTGTATTTTGTCGTCCATATCTAGTGACAGACAGATTTCAAACAATTCCACTAGGCGCATGGATATATTTTCTTCAATACTGAAAAGTTTGATAGAAAGATGTTCGAAATATTTTCGAAGATTCGCCAGACTACCAGTGTGACGAGTAGATATGTTCTCGTTGACCTCCCACCATTCCAGACCCCACATGTAGTTTCTTGCTAGAGCCAGTTTGATCAAATCAACTCATCATCGTGACATGACGGATGTGTTGTATACGTGTGAGGAGTGGCTCATTGCTATACATACAACTGTCAAGAAAAGTCCAACCTTGGTCATAAATCGTCTCCTCGTCGTTGACTACGATTCCGAAAAATGATTCTGTCTTCCATGTCTTAAATGGATTTGTTTCGGCAGACGTCAAGCGCGTTTAGTGGAACCCACCCCCCATCGCATCGGTCACGCCCTCTCGATGTGAAAAGAAACGGAAGATATTCTGAAAATAAGCACATTGTGCAGAATGTTCAAAAACAGTTTTCACTTTTCGGTTCAATTTTTATCTTGTTTGTTGTGTATTTCTGATATTTATGCTCTATACCATGTTGAGCTCCGCTTTCATTAGCGACATATCATGCCACTGTGTCTTAGTTTTCTGAGATTCTGCTATGGAATGTAGTCATCTAAATGAAGGTTCTTTCTTGTTCTGCAATCATCTCGGATCATCATCAACATCATCATCTTCATCATCTCTTTGACTGAAGCCGACCTGATCACACCCATAGGCTTCGTCGTACCGTCGTTCTGCTTTGAAGTTATGGAACGGAACTGAAAATTCTTTTTTTTTCTAACTAAAAAAAAACTTTATAAACGTTTCGAAGACGTGACATTTGTTCATAAAATCTCATACAAAACATTCTTATGAATGATTTGATTAGTTTATTCATTCTCTAGGTGTTGATGATTCAGAGGGCCTCAAAACCCATCACTAATAAGCAATTCCATCTTTACTGTAT